AAATGAGAGGTTTAGCACAAGATGCAAAAATGACACACTGCAAAACTACCCCCGCCTTAAGATATGGCAAGGAAGAAGTATTTCCATTCTCCTGAATTAGGTTCCTGTAACTCAAGTTTGCATTAGGAATCTGCTGTTAGGATTTGAGTTTGGATTATTATGTTTTTATTTAATTGATTGTTTGATACCTTCAGGGAAGGAGTTGCATATTTTTCTATTACTTGTTGACTTGAGAACCCTAGTTGTTGAAGATGTCAGCTATAAATGTATTAAATAAAGAAAAAGTGAGAAAGAAGCAACGAGTGGATTAGAGGAAACTGGAACGAGTGCAATACTTGCAAAACTACTCAGGAGTCAGATTAGCTCTCTGTCTGGAGCTGATAAACTGTCCTCAGTCTAAATGGCTTTGCAGGTAGGGCTGGGAATGGCTCGTGGCTGAAACCCTGGAGAGATGCTGCCAGCCAGTGTTGACAATACTGGGCTAAATGGGCCAATGGTCTGACTGGGCATGAGGCAGCTTTCTATAGGAGAGATGGGGCCATTGCATTTGCCTTAAAAACGGATGCACTTTATATAAGTCATAGCTTTAATACAGTCTTATTACTGTATTTTTTGGTTCGTAGTTTTACCATAACCGTAGTGTGGTGTTGAACTTGGATCAGTAAGTACTGCGCTTCATGTACTAGGTTTGGGCCAGAAAGGCCTAGGTACAAAATTAGTCACTGGGTGAACTTGTGCAAGCCAAGCCTACCTCAGAGGATTGCTGTAGGAGGGAAAATGGAATAAACCCATATATACTGCTTTGGCTGCCTTGGGGGATAAAAATTAACAACTAAATTAACAAATAATATAATTACTGTAGTGTAAATATCAGGACTCTGAAATGTTGCAAGGAGACGGGGGCTGCTTTTCTGCCTTTGCTGCATGTATATTTTTCTGTACAAGAGGTAGGCTTAGGTTAAGTTAATATACAATGGTACCTTGGTTCCCTAAAGGTTAAGTTGTTGAACAAATTGGCTCCTGAATGCCACAAACCCAGAAGTGTTCCGGTTTGCAAACGTTTTTCAGAAGCTGAACGTCCAATGCGGCTTACGCGGCTTTCAGTTGAGTGCAGGAAGCTCCTGCAGCCAATCGGAAGCCACACTTTGGTTTCCAAATGGTTTTGGGTGTCAAACTGACTCCCGGAACGGATTAAGTTCAAGAACCAAGGTGCCACTGTATGTACATAAGTAGCAGTTGTTTCCAATAGATCACAGGTTATGTGGGGGAAAGGGAAGTCCACATACAGTGTACCAGGCCCAGGAAATCCTGTTGGCATCCTTGCATTATACCAGCTACTTTGTATTTCTGCGTTTCATATTTTCTCAATTCTATAGTGTATGAGCTAGTCTCTAGCTTTCAGCCTTAAATATGACACTAATCCACTTACTAAGAGCATTTCTGTGTATCTTCAGTCCACCGGAGTCAGCACAACGGCACAAGAAGTCCAACTGGTTGCTTGGGATCGTAATATTTTTAGAAACACCAAGGAGGCCATAATCACACAAGCTGCGCTTTTCCCCAGGGAACTGAATCGTTGCACATCTCTTGCGTCATGAAGCACAGCCATTTTGAACATCAAAACGTCTTCCCTTAGCCCTGCAGTACCTGCAAAATAAAATGCTTCTTCAGCTACCCATCCTATTTTTAAAGATATTATCAAAGCCTTACGTGCAACCCATCTCGTCAACTCTGTGTGACCCTAGTGACCTTTGCATCCAGGGCTGTATTTCCAAACCCCATCCCTCAGTTTTAATGAGGTTTGCCACAATGAACCAACAGCACAAAATATATATTCTAGCACAAATCCTTTATAACGGTACGCAGTGGAGCGACAAAGCGCCAGACAATATCGGGACTGTCTGGGCATTCATTATATTGTCAGTGTGCTTACAATAAACACATTGTGGAGAAAACAAGAGGGCAAAGAAAGAAGAGCTCTGAAATCCGTTTTAAAGGAAATGCCTGCGAAACATGATATAGTTTGGGCAGGGTCCTGCTGGATACACGGAAGGCGAAGCAAATGATAAACTTGGTCTGAAAGCAATCAAAGGTACCAGACAGGAGGAGGAAGAAAACAAAGTCACTTGCAGTTCATAATTTTAACTGCCAAGTGCATCCTTCATAAACAGGCATCCTGGAAACCTGGACTCAAGATGTTCAGGCCACCCTTTGCTTTCAAGGGTCCTCCTCAGCCACCGTTAGCCCTCCACCTCCAAAAAGAAGCCCGCATAGTTCAGGTGGAACCAGAAATGAAAAGGTAGGCACACTTGCCTATTCCTGAGCGTAGCATCACTGTTATTACATTGCCACTATTCATTTCTGCAGAGCTTCTGGTGCACCATGAACCTTAGAAGAGTTATCTATCTCATCATCAGTGATGGTAGGTAGTTGTGTAACCAAAAGTGTCAGGGTATTACAGACCTGATGGGTTTCAATGGAATTTACATGCATCATAAATAGGTGCAGAACACCATCAGCTACAATGTTTTGTCAGAAGATTTGCAACACAAGATCAAAAAGGGTACAGTGTCTTTATAGCTGAACTAGGGGCTACTCCCCTGCCGAACCTCCTGCTACTCCCCACCATGTTAGACCCCTTGAGCTTCCTCTTCCCACCCCATGCACTAAACAGTATTTTCAACTTCACAACCCTATTTCTGAAGTAGCTTCTTTCTTCCATTTAGCAGCTCCATGATATGATACAATACGATAATCTTTATTGCCATTGTCCTATACAGAACAACGAAATTGAAAAAATCTACATCAGACATTCAAAAACCCACAAACCTGCTATCCCAGCTATCCCAGCCTGGTTAGCCCCTAGAAACTCTGGTACCCCATAATTGAATACAATATACTCACATAAAGACTACCTTACACTTTGTTTAAAACCAAAATCGCATTTGGATAGAAACTGTTTCTCAGGCGGCTAGTCCTAGTTCCAGAAGGCAGAAGCTGAAAGAGATCATTTCCGGAGTGCACACTATCCTGCACTATCTCTGCAGCTTTCACCTCACACCCATCATCACTTTTATCCCCATGTCCATGCCTCCTCCCATTTTTTTGGCAAGCCTGCCCACCCTGCACACATACCACTCCCTAACACACGGTAACCTCCTGCATCGTCCCACATATTGCAACACTAAGGACCTTTTTCGTTTTTCACTTAGTTACAAAGCTGCCGTCCTGTTCTGTTCTGCAGACCTTTAGTATCCCTTTCATCTTCACCCCCTATTTCCACGCCTCCTATTCCTTCATTTGGATAATCCAACTATTATTGCCTCTTAGGCACCCTTCGCTTTCCCAAACCAGCTGCTTCCAACTTGATGCCCTGCAGATCTTTTGGAGAAAACCTCCATAGGGCCTGCTCACCACAGTTCTGCTGCCATGGTTGATGAGAGCTGTCATGCAAAACATCTGCAGGGCACCAGGTTGGCAAAGGCTGGCCCAGACAGTCAAGAACACGACTGTGCTGTGTTTCTAAGTAATTGTGGCGGTAATTGGTTTCACCTAATATATCAGCTGTAGCCAGGGCTTTCTTTCAGCTGGAACTCAGTTCCAGCACCTTTCAGGTAGGTTCCAGCACTTCTTAGGTGGGCGCCATTGCCATTCTCAGAGAACGAGGGAGGGGTTCATAGTGAGTTCCACTACCTCTTTTCCTAGGAAAATAGCATTGGCTGTAGCAGTTATGGTTTGTACTCCCTTCCTCAGGTAGCTATCACTGCCTATAAGTATATTCTTGTACAGGGTCCTTCTGTTTTGGTTTACACAGACAGGCACACCTCCCCGGTCTCTAATGGCACATGCCCTGGCAGCACATGAGTTTGTCTAAAAGTGGTGTGGGACTTTGGTGGAGGGGGCAACAGAAAATGTAGGCATGCAAGTGATCCACACACCTCTTTCTTCCTTGAAGTTCAATGTCTGAATGGAGTCATCCATGCATTTCATTCAGTGGAAGGCAGAATCAATGAAAGCAATTTATATGAAAAGGCTGACAGCACTTACGGGTGATGAATAGCAACGTGAAGTGGTAGTGAAAATGTTAAGGGATGCACATCCTTAAAATATATGTGTAGCTCAGCACTATAGAGAGCAGTTAATTAACAAGTGGCCTAAGACATTCAAGACTTTGCATGCTAAAACTATATCCTTGATTGGACCCGGTAAGCTCTGGCTGCTGCATTTTGTACTAGCTGCAGTCTCAGGACCGTTTTCAAGGCCAGCTCCATGTTGAGCCAACCTGTAGTCATAGAATCATAGAACTGCAGAGTTGGAAAGGATCCCAAAGGTCATCTAGCCCAACCCCCTGCCATGCAATCATCCAGATGGGAGGTCACTAGTGTTTGAATCACTGGGGGCAAGCTGTAATTGTCCAGGAATGGCCATAGCTGGCAAACCAGCCATAGCTAGGAAAATATATTAGCCACCACTGAGGTCATGTTGGCTTCTAATGGCGGTCAAGTTGAGGAATACACCCAGATTATATATCTGATGCTTTAACCAGGAACTAATACCAGACTGTTGAAATGTCAGGTAAAAAAATTAGGCGGTAGTATATTTTTAAGAGGAAGAAAACCGCTGCTCTGCTGCAGTCAGCTGCTGAAGTACTCAGTGTTGACATGGTAGGGCACACAACTGCACACATCTGCCACAAGAGTTTCAGGGCTTAGAATCTGAGTGATTGGGTGTTACAAAACTAAATCCGTCCTTCCACCTTTCTAGACCTTTGGTACATCAGGCAATCTCTTGCGACTGATACTGTGACCACTACTACTGGTGAATCGTACAGCACAATCCTATATTACCTGCAAGTAAGCTTCATTGAACTCAGTAAGACTTACTTCAAAGTAGACATGAATAGGATTTACGCTGCTAGTCCTTGCCAACAGCCATTGCAGCCGACTTGCTGTAAGCATTAGAAGATAGAGAGTTCCTTCAGATGTATCCCACCTCAAGAGATGGCAAAAATTAAGCTGACGGCAGAGAAAAAAAGTCATCGAAGTGCAGTTTTTGAACTCTATGAAAATGGTAGCAGCAGAAAGACTGTGAGAAATCAGATATACAGCATCTGAAGCAGTTGCAAATGAAGAATGTGTGGTTTCAAGCTTCACTTTCTGGTATAAAAAATTGAAGAGCTTCTGCTTCTCCTTTTGCTTGTGGGATCAGTGCTCACAGGCAGTTTCCCTTCCTGTTCCACTTTTCAGAGCATCCTCCAGCAGCAAAAGCTGCAGCTCAAGTAATGCTCATCCAATCCTAGCCAGCATATCACAGCAGTAGTGAGTTGAAATGCTGTCTTCTCAGGGCTTTGGGCTGAGATTCTACCAATCAGTTACTAGCCAGCTATGGCCGCCTTCGTTTGTTTAACGTGGCCAATGGCATGAAAGTGCACATGGATATATATGTATATATTTAAAGCACAGCCTCTTGTTGCTTTTACTATCTGCTCTCCTTGACTCCCATTTTGATTGAATGGGCCCTTGAAGCACAGCTGCAGGATCTCACAAAGGAAATTCAAAAACCCTTTTCTGGCAGGAGCTTCATTTTGTTATACTGACATGGTAAAAATACGAAGTTCTAAATATAGAGCAGGTTTTGCTGCTCTTAAAAATCTAGCATATTGTTCACAGTAGCAGAATATTATTATACTGTATCAGACTGCTTGTTAGAACAGCGTAATCTGTTCTACCCTGACTGCCAGCAGCTCCTTGGGAGAGATTTTCTAGATCTTCTTCTCTCGGATCCTTCTAACTGAAGATACCAGGGACCTTCTGAATGCAAAGTATATAGTATCCTCTACTGAGCTCTGTCCCTTCTCAGTAGCTCATAGTTTAGTATCTTCAGGGTTCTCAAACCCCATCAGGTGAAACTGGCTTAAGACTGAGATGAATACTGGTGATGATTAAGAGCTCCCAACAGCGGCATAGCGTGGGTTGTCAGCACCCGGGGCAAGGCAAGTAATTTGCGGCCCCTAACCCGGGGCAAGGCAAGTAATTTGCGCCCCCTAACCCGGGGCAAGGCAAGTAATTTGCGCCCCCTAACCCCTAACCTGCCGCCGCTGCCAGCTTCTTCTTGCTGCTGCCTGGTCTGGTCTGGTGTGGTTCTCTCCCGCGCTCAGCGCTGCGCTGGGCGGCCGCTGCACTGTCCCTCCCCCAGATAGTCCCTCGCTCTCTCTCCGCACCGCACGCCTGGCACCCACCCCCTCCACAGTGGGCGGCGACCCAGTGGCTCGTATTCGCACAGCCAGCACTGCAGTGAGAGAAAGAGAGTGAGCCAGGTAGGGGCAGAGAGCTGTGAGTGCGAGCGTCCCCCCCCCCAGATGTTGCGCCCGGTGCGGCCGGCCCCCCCTGCACCCTCCACGCTATACCACTGGCTCCCAACAAGGGAAGAACTTGGATGCATCATGGGCTGAACTACTCCTTTGCCTCAGAGGTCCTCAGTTGAAGCAGTTGCCTGGCAACTGCCAACCAGCAAAGACCTGACCCGTTTATGGACTGAACTTCATGGTTCACCTGATCAGTTCCAGTTTTCTCAAAGATCCACACCAATGAAGGCCAAGAATGAAGGCAAACAAAAGGCCATATGAACGAACTGGGCACTATGGTTCTCCCCACCCCTCATTAGATCTGCTAACCTTTTGAACTATTTGATATTTGGGAGCCTCTCAGGGCTATAAAGCAGGATGTAAGTAACAAACACTTTCAAAAATGAACAACTGAATGTTAAACATAATCAAATCACATCCATTTCAAGAGAATTTGCTCAAGAGAAAGGGTTCGATCAAGCACTTCAGCCTACTTCGATAGTTCTATATATTTGCCATGTCAGCCTGTGATATTTTTAAAATCTTGCCCAAGTTGCCCTTCCTTTGAACATTCTGCAGCTTTGAAGAGACAATAGATCCACCACAAATCACTGTCTAGAATCACTGGCCACAGATGTGAAGTATCTGCAGTATACACTTTACACGGAATATTTATAAGTATAAAATAAAAGTCTGAGGGGGAGAAAGAGAAGGGGGTGGGGATGACGGCAAACTTTGTTATAAATGCAATAGGCGATCAATAGAGAGAGAGAAAGCCATTGAGCATTCTCTGCAGATGGTTCTGATGAAACATAATCTGTGTGAAGAGGCTGCATTTTTGTTTAGAAGTGCCAGCTGAATCACCATAGAAACGCATGAGGCAATGACCTTGAAGATTACAGTGCTACAGATTACAGCATTTCTCAAGTGAGCAAGGTGTCAGGCCTCAATACTTGCTTGGAAACTCCAGCTATGGTTGTGGGTACAGTGGTACCTCGGGTTAAGTACTTAATTCGTTCCGGAGGTCTGTACTTAACCTGAAACTGTTCTTAACCCGAAGCACTACTTTAGCTAATGGGGCCTCTGGCTGCCACCGCACCGCCACAGCACGATTTCTGTTCTCATCCTGAAGCAAAGTTCTTAACCCGAGGGAGTATTTCTGGGTTAGCGGAGTCTGTAACCTGAAGCGTATGTAACCTGAAGCGTATGTAACCCGAGGTACCACTGTATTCTGTAGGAATATTCTGTATTCTGTAGGAAAAGGCTCTCTGAACATACTGCAAACCACTGGGTGCAGTTCAATGTCACACTCTTCCAACTGTTCTCTCCGTGAAAGTATTGCAGCTTGCCAGATAGAATGATACCCCTCTCCTCACCCCACGTGTGGTTCTGAGCGTTCTCCTGACCTACCCACCTGCCGTGAGCCAATTCCAGGGGGTCAGGGGCACATGGGGGAGCAGAAGGGAAGAAACCCTGCTGTGCAAGTCCTGAGCATGGCTTCTGCTGGTAAGGGTAGTTAGGTGAGCCCTGCCCACTGTCTTCCTATTACTAACCTCCTATGTGCCTGGCATTGGAAAACATCTAGCCATTGTAAGCTAGGGATGGGGGACATTTTTCAGCCCATTTCTTTATGGGTAACCTTCTGAGGGCCACATACTGACAATGTGTGGGGAGAGGTGGAAAGAGTAATATTGGTTGTGACTCTTACTTTGTATGGTAAATTATATTGTAGCCATGGAAAAATCACCTCTCCACCCCGATGAGGGGAGTTATCACAATCTGAGGATGCTTCAAGCCAGACAAAAATATTGCGTCCAGGTGGCATCTGCATAAGAGTCCTTGAAGAACTCAAAAGTGAAATTGTTGAGCTTACATACAAAAAAGTTCAATACATCCCTAAGACCAGCCTTCATAAGCCAGGGCAACATTATTTTTTAAGGGGGATCCAGGGAAATTACAGGCCAATTAGCTTAACATAATGGAAATCATTATTAAAGGAACATAACATGGATTTAAATGAACAAGCTTTACTGAAGAGGAATCAACATGGCTTCTGCAAAGGTTAAGTCCTGTCCCACTCAGCGTCAAAAAGCATGTAAATGGGGTTATCTGGGTTTGGACTTTTAAAGAGATTTGGAACACACACAAAAACATACAAAAGGTTAATGTGTAAACTTAGCCGTCAGGGGATCAGAGCATTGGTCCTTTACAGAATAGTAACTGGTTATAAAGAACAGGGAGCATAAAGTAGGTGCAAGTGGGTGGATCCTACAATGGAGGAATGTAAGAAGTGCCCCCCCTAAAATTTGGGGGGATTGACGTCCCCCCCCCATTCACAAAAAGTCTTAAAGAGAACCTTGAGAAGCCAATTTGATGGTGACACCAAATTATTCAGGACAAGCACCCAAAAGGATTGTTCCAAACTGGGCAAATGTGCAAGAAAATGGTAAGTGCAGTTTCATGTAAGTATTTGTGGAATTATGCACATTGGGGCAAAATAACATTTTTAAACCCTAAATTCGCATATACACCGATAGGCTCTGAGCTGGCCATGACTGAATTGAAAAGTGATCGTGGGGTCATGGTGAACAGCTGTATGAAAATACAGTGGTACCTCGGGTTAAGTACTTAATTTGTTCCGGAGGTCCGTTCTTAACCTGAAACTGTTCTTAACCTGAAGCACCACTTTAGCTAATGGGGCCTCCTGCTGCTGCTGTGCTGCCGGAGCACGATTTCTGTTCTCATCCTGAAGCAAAGTTCTTAACCTGAAGCACTATTTCTGGGTTAGCGGAGTCTGTAACCTGAAGTGTATGTAACCTGAAGCGTATGTAACCCGAGGTACCACTGTACCAACTCTTTTGGTGGGAGTTGTGAAAAATGAAAATTCAGCGCAAAGGACCAAAAATAAGGCTACCAATAGCATAGTGCCTTCACGCAAATTTCGAGTGAGATGAAGGTTACTCACGCTTAAAGCAGACCCACTGAAATTAATGGGACTAGCTCCAAGGTTCACAGTTTTGCTCTCAGCATGACTAAGCCTAGCTCTAACAAAACAGAAATGAGAAAGATCGAACAGATTTTTGCTAAAACGCTGCGGAAACCTTATTGCAAACAGTTGGGACTGCAGCAGATATCTACAGCAACCACGCGAGAGGCCTACGTAGCCTTTCCTCGAAAACGCTCTGCAGGGAGCAATCGCTTTTCCCCAAGCACTCTTGCTTCTTGCTCAGCCTGCGAACGAGGCTCAAGGATCACAAGTTCTGCATTCCACAGCTACTCCGGTTTGCAACTCGCAGGTGCAAATGGATGGATCCCGGCTAAAGCGCACAAATCATCAGCTCCTCTCCCGCCCCCTCGTAAATAGATCCTCGGGGGAGCCCGGAGAGAAGTTAAGAGGGGAGGGGAGATTTTCACGGAGCAGCCCATCAAGCATCCAAAGCCGGGGTGAAGTCTGAGGGAGGGAAGGCAGGGAATCTCCTTTGGCACGCCAAGCCTCGCCGGTTTCCCGGAGATGGAAGCTTTTAGCAATGAGAGGCGCGAAGCTTCCCCACGCCCTCATTTATCCATCATTCATCTATGGCGGTGGGGGGGGGGTTGCCTTTCCACCCACCCCCAGTAAGAGCTGAATGCGGTGATCCGGAGTGGGGGAGGGAGGAAGAGGAGGAGCACGATGACTTCATGCAGCCGGAGCGCCGTGAATTTGGGATCAGCAGCTGCAGCTGCACGTTGGGGAGGCAATGACAGCGGGAGCTCCGCCCGGGCGTTTGTCCAAAGCACCCCCGGCGTAATCTTTTTCCAAAATAAAAAAGACACCCCCCTCCTTTGCAAATAAACCACCACCCGCAACAACCTGCAGGGGGCGGAGAGTTGCCCAAAAGCTGAGAAGGTTCAGCCGCAGTGCGAGGGGGGAAAGAGGAGACGATGCGCTGAATCGGCCGTCGGGGAGGTGAGTAGATGTGTAAGATACAAACACACACCCTTTTCGCCGCCGCCGCCGCTGCCACTTCAGCAAAGGGAGGCGCAACACGTGCGGAACCGACGGTGTGGGCGAGAGAGCCTCGCTTGCTGGGCCGAGCGCCCCGTGGTGGGGGCTGGAGAAGCTGTTGCGGAGAGATCGGGGATGCTCCTCTGCTGGCATCCGAGCGGGGCTCCCCCCGTCCCACGCCCGCCTCTCCGCTGCTGTCGAGTGACAGCGGGGGCCCTAAGCTGCTGAGAATTGGGGTCGGAGGGGGGACTTTGACTTGGAAGGGTTGCCCGGCCCTCTGGTTTCGGGGGTCCCCCTCCCTCCTCTCCTTATGTCTTCCAAACAGGCTTGCGCGCAGAGCGAGCCGCCTCCTCGAGGGGCAGCGCTTGTTTTCTCGCCTTCCTAAAAATAGCCCGGAGTGTTTAGAGGGAGGGATGATGGCTGGGGACGGGAGGGGGGGCCGCTGCCTCTCTCCTGCCTCTCCTCGGACCAGGACCGGCGTGACGGCGGCTCCTTTGCTTCCTCTTCTCCTCCCCAGGACGTGCGTAAAGAAGGGGCACCCGTTGGGGTTTGTGGCGCTCCGGCGGGATGGAATAAACGACGGACCTACGCGCCAGTGTGGTGGACTGCTAAGGGATGACGCCTAAACTATGGGACATGTGACAGCTCTACTTCAGTTTACTTAAAGGTAGGCCAAAATATGATGGCAGGGGTTGGGGGGTCAGGCAGGTTGGAGGGGCGGGGTGTGTGTGGTCATTTACTGCTCCTGGGTCCTGGGTACTCCTGCTTCTCCCCACACAGCCCTGGGGCTTATTGGGAGCTGCTCTTAAAAGGTGCTACCATGTGTCTTCCCACCCCACCCCCAAACACAAGCAGCCATTTTAATGTTATGCACATACAGTTACACAGCTGGTAGTTGAGAAATGTCAGTAACAACAGTGAGGCCCATGAAGAACTAGTTGTGATGTGTCAAGATATGAACCAGTTCTTGTAACAGAGTCCAAAAAGAGAAGCAATCTAATATTGAGCCTGTTTTGGATCATAACCCAAAATATATGCTTTCTGTCCTTTGTGCTACTAACCCTCTTCTGTGTGAGTGTTCATTTTTTTAAAAATGGCTTAAAGGATTAGGTTCTCTGAAGGATGACATTTGCTACGTAACACCTATATGGACCCTTGATTTGAATCTCTCTTCTTCAACCACAGGAAAGGTGTCAGGCAGCAGCCCCCATATTTGCTGTTGGATGCCTTCAGTGTTTCAAGCATTTGGCTGAATAAAAACCCACAAACGGGTGGGTTGCGTAGTAATCTATCATTTCCCTCCAGTAATGGAAAATCCTTCCTGCCTGAAATGTGGGTTTTGTGCCAGAATGTGCAATGTGTTATGCCAATAGTCTGCTGAATGCCATGGAAGCATCCTTTATGTTTGCTGGAAGCGAATTCATAGTGGGCATTTTGTTCTTTTTAGCAAATGTGGAAAAGAAGGAAGTGCTTGCTGTGGGCCTTTCCAAGTTCTACCCCCACATGCTACTAATTTAAGTGATAAATATAGGTTAAAATCAACACTACCGCTTGTTCAAGAGAGAGACTGCCAGCCAAGTCATCTATCTTGTTTGATTAAAATTAGGAATGATGCGTATCAAAGTGGTCGCTGCCTGCAGAAATGGGCTCAAAGTGTCCCATCCTCTCCTGTTTAGCATGGCAAACTTGGACTTTTGAAGGTTTCTGTATATAGTAGCATAGATGACCTGTTTGAAGACCCAAATACATTATTGCTATAGTTTGGCATCTTTTGCTTTCCTTGGTGTACATTCCATCTTGTGAGCAACTGAGAAACTGTTTTAAAATAGAATCTATGTTTGACAGGTGTGAATCTTGGTTAAGAGCCTAATTGTCCGCAGTTCTTGGATATGTACTGCTTCTCAACTATCAGAATGATCTCGGTATTTAAGTAATCTTCCCCCCCAAGTAGATATTTTCACAGAGGGTTACATTTATGAAGCAGTTGAGAAGAACACACAACGCGTTAAGGAGATAATTGTGGCTCATTTAGTAATCGGTCTACTAAACCACTGATGACTACTAAAAATCTAAGGGAGGGGAATCAACATTTAGAATTCTCAGTTATTTTCTGATGAGGCTCTTATGGTTGTAGCTGCTGTGTGACATGCAGAAATTACTAGAGCCTCATCAGGAGGTCACTTTCCCAGAATAAGGTAACATCATTTCAGCTTCCTAGATAATTTGGGAATATCTTGGTCTTGTGACAGAGGTAAACTTTAAGCTTCACAATTTCTGGAATGAGATTTTAAAATGTATCCTTTTCAGACTTTTCTGGTAATTGACATACCCTTTTATTGTGCAGAAGGGACGCGGGTAGCACTGTGGGTTAAACCACTGTGCTTCTTGGGCTTGCCGATTGGAAGGTTGGTGATTCGAGGCCCCATGACAGGGTGAGCTCCCATTGTTTGGTCCCAGGTTCTGCCAGCCTAGCAGTTCGAAAGCACACAGTGCAAGTAGATAAATAGGTACCGCTCCGGCGGGAAGGTAAACAGCGTTTTCGTGCGCTGCTCTGGCTTCGCCAGAAGCAGCTTAGTCATGCTGGCAACATGACCCAGAAAAACTGTTTGTGAAATCGGACAAACGCCAGCTCCCTCAGCCTGTAAAGCGAGATGAGCGCCACAACCCCAGAGTCATTCGCGACTGGACTTAATTGTCAGGGGTCCCTTTACCCTTTACCTTTTATTATGCATGTGCCCCATTCTAGCTCTGAGCACTTTGGAAGTATCTTGATTGTTGAAGGCTGGTTTAGGGAAACTGGCCTTTGAGATGTTGCCGCACTCTCAGATTCCGCCAGCACCAGCCAACATGGCCATTGATGAGGGTTTGTGCAAGTTATAAGTCTCCAGCATTTCTGATCCCTGATTTAAGGACACACTTTAATGCCCTGTTTTGAGGAAGGTCCTTCATTCACATTTTTCAAATGATTGCAGTGCCTTAGACCACAAATGTGTGTGTTTTAAGAAACTTTGGACTCTAAACTCATTGCAAATGACCCTAGAATTTTCAATATCCAGTTAGTCAGTGATGTCAAATGCAGTGAAGAATAAGCCAATTTAAAAATTAAGAGGATAGGCCTACAAAATAGGTATCCATTGCTAAAGCATAGAAGAACTCTGCATTCAACACATGTGTGCAGCAGTACACACCTGCATACCACATTTCTTAGTTCATATTGACACAAATTCCATATGTGTTCATTCACACCAACATGTACAGACTCATTGAACATGAAAATCTCTGAAAGAAATCATGAATATAATAAACAAATGAAGCTACGTATTATTGGACAACCTTGGAGAACCACTGCCAATCAGTGTAGACAGCTCTGAGCTAGATTGACCATTCTGACTCACACCAGTGAAATTGGCTAAGATTTACAAACTGAAGATTAAGAAATGCTGGAAATGTGGAGAGGGGGATGGTGAGTTCTATCATATGTGGTGGACATGCAGGAAAGTAAAAGGCTTTTGGGAACTGATCTACAACGAACTTAAAAAAAAAATTAAATATACTTTTCCCAAAAAGCCTGAAGCTTTCCTGCTAGGAATAGTTGGCAAGGAAATCAAAAAAGAGGACAAAAATCTGTTTCTATATGCCACAATGGCCGCTAGAACTATGTTAGCCCAAAGCTGGAAAACGGAATTAATACCTGCTATGAATGACTGGCAGATTAAGATGATAAACTATGCTGAACTGGCTAGAATAACAGGAAGACTAAGAGACCAGGATGACCAGAAGTTTCATGAAAAATGGAATAAATACCTGACGTATATAAGAGACAAGTATAGAACTTTGATGACTCTGGCAGGGTTAGAATAACTCCAACAGTGTTTGGCAAATATGTAAAGGAGATAAAACACGTAACTTTAGAAATTATCTGATACTTACCAATGAAGTAAAGGGAGGTCCGAGGCTCGGCGGAGCCTAAATTAACTGTATACTATATATATGATTTTTGTAACAGCTATGTTATATGCAACTTAAGTAATCTAGACTGTATATATGTATAATCAATGGAAAATTAATAAAAATGTATATATATAAAAAAAAAAGATTGACCATTCTGACTCAAGATAAGGAAACTTCCTATGTTCCTCCTTTATTCTTGGATCACCTTGAGGAGATCCTTTATCTTTCTTTAGACCCTTAGGACCGCAATTCCAGTTCTTCACCATTCATTGTGCTTATTCCTTGGAATTGCATTTAGATATTGTAGTTCTGCAGCCAGACACGGAATAGTGAAGGAGCATTAACTGCTTTGTACATTCTCCTATATAGAAGCCATCTTGTTTAGCCCAAGTAAATCTTGGTGATGGCTTGTGGGTATGTAGATGAACCACATGTTGTTGGCATCCACATGTTGTTGTTCCATTGAGAGACAGTGGAGTGTGCCTCCAGGGGTGAAGTCAAACCACTGTGTTAGCAGCACTGATGTGACCTCTCCAGGGCACAAGCCTGGGCAGTGTGTATGGAGGTCCTGGGCTGCTCAGACAATAAGACCCCCCTCTTGGCCTCAATGATGTGGTCCTAAGGAAAGCAGAGCAATACATTTGGCACCAGCTTGACTGCAGGAGTTGCCAGAAGATGGCATACGAGGTGCCATCAAATTGTAGGGACTCCACTCCCATTTCCTCCTTAGCCTTCTCCTGAAGATATTCCGCAAGGCAGGGGAAGTTTAGAATCAGAGTTTTCCTGCTCCTAGAAGGGCTAACTTCCCATGTTAATGATCTCCATCTGACCCTCATTTCCCTCTACAGCACATGCAGAAACTGCCTCCTTGACCATTGGACCTACTGTTGGTCTTACCCGCTCAATCCACCAGAGCCTGTCTTCTCATGCAGGGGATGTCCTTAACTCACCAAGAGAGACCCATCAACCACCCTAACCTGCTTCAGTCAGCCAGTCAAAGCTGTCTTGGTAGTACTATTTATGTCCCCAGCAGTGGCCAGGGGGAAATGGAGTGTGTCAGGCGAAGCCATGATCTACAGGATTCCCCCCTACATCATGGCCTTGAAAAAGATCCAAAACTATATCCATCCTGGGGCTGTCATATTAATTTTCCTTCCATTTGGAATGGGGGCAGGAAGGGAAAGAAAAAGTTGCCCTCAGCTGGTCTAAAGGTAAAAGGACCCCTGACCATTAAGTCCAATCGCGAACGACTCTGGGGTTGCTGCACCCATCTTGTTTTACTGGCCAAGGGAACCGGCGTTTGTCCACAGACAGCTTCTGGGTCATGTGGCCAGCATGACTAAGCTGCTTCTGGCGAACCAGAGCAGCACATGGAAACGCCGTTTACCTTCCTGCCGCAGTGGTACCTATTTATCTACTTGCACTTTGCCATGCTTTCAAACTGCTAGGTTGACAGGAGGTGGGACTGAACAATGGGAGCTCACCCTGTCGCGGGGATTCGAACCGCCGACCTTCTGATCGGCAAGCCCTAGGCTCTGTGGTTTAGACCACAGCGCCACCTACATCCCCATTCAGCTGGTCTACAGCTAGCCAAAAATAGTCTTGCTAGAGTAGGAGATGGACTGGAACTATGGGAGGTCCTTTCTTTTCTTCTTCTGTGGTAGGCTAACTCAGCTGTTTTAGCAGCAGTCTATGGTGGTTTTGCTGCTGTCTTTAAGCAAGGCTTGTCCTGATTTTCGTTCTGCATGAAATAATGATTTACCTCAGCCACCTATAGGTTGGTATCTTGCATTGTGCTCATGGAGCTTCAGCTTAGCAATAGCCTTTACCATCAGTGGTGTTTTCTGCACCATCATTCCTTCTGTATCACTGCTTGGGCAACTGGCCTTGTGAGTCTATTTCTTCAGCTTGCTGGGTTCTGGAATGAGCAGAACAGGAAAAGTGTTGTACTTTCAGTAGCTGTGCGGAAGAGGATTTTGGCTGGTGTAATCTGGCATTGTCATGCAGTTTTTGACAGGGTGCTTAGACTTGCACCTCCTGAAATCGCTTCTTCTATGAACTGTTAGAAGTAAGCAATCCTGGTGATCCATTGCAACTGATTCAATCCTACTGGTTTGGCATTGCAAGCTTGAGAATGCCTACAGAGTTGCCATCGGGGCTGTTGTGCCTTTAAGTGGCATGGCAGCCAGAACTGGGAATGAGACATGCCAGCAAAAGCTGCATCTGTTGGATTTGCTGCCTGCTCTGCAGCTATTACAGAAGCGCCACCAGACAAAAAAGCAGCAACGTTAGCAGTAAGTTATTCATTGTGGTCTGTCTTGAGAGAGCAAATGTTGCTGTGGCTTTTATGGCAAGCTGTTTGTTGGTAGAGCTGATACCAACATGAAATGGTTTATCTCCATCTGTTGTCTGCCTTTCAACATGGAAACTAATTTATTGGGCAGAGCGGCCAAGATTCATATGAAAGTTGAGGAGGAATCCACTGAAGCCTTTGCTGTGCTTACCCGTAAACTGTATTGATTGGTTGTAAAGGAGGATGAAGGTACACCTCAGAATAGTTAAGCTACACACGTTTGCCTAGGGATTGACATGTAGGGGTATATAGCTTTTAATGGCATAACCACTTGAGAGGAAAGTTAACTGGCTTTTGCCTTCCCCACCCATCCCAATTCAGGGTGAAATTCTTCTGCCTTGGAATACTGCTTCCATGGCTGCATTTTATTTTTTTTAAAAAGGAAAAGATAAAACTGTGTGAGTTATGTAGCTTAGCCCCAAAGAAATGGGTCTCTCTAAAGAGATGAGCTGAAAGGAAGAATTGGGGGGAGTGGGGTGCTGATTTAATTCTGTTCTCATAAAAATGCTCCCACAACCTGACATGCCTCAGAGGGTAGAGTTGTCTTTTGGAAGCAGATGTTAGCGTGGGAGGCAATTACAGCCGATATGGAGAAGCTACTTCACACAGTGAGGAGGAGAAAAATATAGAGGTGTTTGTGGGAGGACAAAGAGGCAAAGTCATCTTGCATGGAAAGAAAGAGGCATTAATTAGTGCGGGAAGATAGCAACATAAGTCTTCAGCTACTCTTGCATGTCTGCCTATGTTAAATGTTAAAGCTATTCCAGACAGAGGCTGTACCCTTTGTTTTCTTCTTCCCTGTGCTGTAATGCATTTATCGCCCATTTACCCGTTACCCACCTTCCCTCCATTTAGGCAAATGGGACTTGGTGGACAGCTTTTCCTTACCCTGCCCCATTTTTGTGGGGCCAGGGAGAGAAGGTTAGAGCTGGGAAGCACATTTGGTGCACTCCTTTGTGACTTGGCTGCTTCCATCAAGAAGTGAGTGTGCCCAGCTAAAAAGAACACCAGGCTAAGGTACCTGCTTAGTGCTCGTGAACTGGAAGATGTGAACCATGAATTGCAAGTGAGCTTTGAGTGGTTGTCCTGCAAGTCTCTGCATCAATATACATGACATAGTGCAGGATCCTGATTTCTTTTCCTTTCTCTCCAATGCTTTATCTTTCTATGGAAAACGTTCTGTTTCCTAAGTTCATATTGGAAACGATGAATGAATGCCAATTGCCAATAATATTAAGTGAGCTTGGTAGTTTCAGTGTTTTAAGCTTTATTAAATGCAAGTAAAATAGACATGCTAAATTAGGTAACAGTCTAGGGTACCAGAATTCGTTTTGATTTAGACTGAAAAATTTCCACTGCAAATTCCCCTGTAATATACCAGGAAAAGACTCCCAATTTAAAATATATCTATCTATCTATATATGATGCTGATATGTATGTGTATAAGCGCTGAGGTTATGTCACATTGGTAGTGAAAGAAAGCAAGGAGTGTATCAAACTCTTTTTCATATATTTCTTGCATATCACGTTGCTGAACTTACAGCTACAGAGACTTTGGGGAGATGGAGTTTCTCCAGCCATAGCTGCTGGTTCCCTCTACATAGCATAGGCATATCTTGAAAGGACTTCACAAATCTTTGTGCAGTGTTTTGAGGGCTGCAGATTTTAGGGTGCCTTCCTCTCTTGCTACTGCACCTGAAACTATTGTTCTAACTTCTATAATTCAGCATCTTGTTCTAAGAGCCCCATATTTGGGGAGCTGAAACATACAGTACTTGGCTCCCAATAGTACATGCTTTTTGTAACCATGATCCTTGTGATACTCTGCTCAAAACAGCTTTTAATGAACCTAAGTACAAGTTATTGACTTAGCTCTGCTGAATATTATCCACTTGTTAATCTATGGTGCTTGTTTTAAAAGGAATCTAAAAAAGCAGAGGTCTGTATTGATCCGTTTTTGTCATCTTTCCCCCTCCCTCAATTTACAGTTGTCCTTGTACTAACCTTGAACATAACAGTGAGTTTTAAAACATACATTACAGTTTCAGATTGATGATTTAAGCCATGCATCTCCTCATTTTGTATGGCTAAATAGAATGGGTGATTGAATAATACTTCCTTCTCTTTCCCTCCCCACTACCACGCTGTTCACATATTCTGCATATTTAATTTTATTTTCTGCTGAGCAAAACACATTGCTGCAATACTCTTCCTTTTTTCTTTTTGTTGTGTAGGATGGCGTAAGTAGGTGCTGATGTTGACACAGCATTTTGTGCAGTCAAAGAGCTGTTTGTGTTTGCTAGAGAAAAGAAAGTAATGTTTCACAACAATGGAGATGGGAAGGGGCCTGTACTGGATATCACTTAATGAGGATTCTAGCCTAACCAAGGCATGTCTACTCTAAAGTAAGCCCCCAGTTTAGCTTGCTTCTGAGTAGACATGAATAGGGTTGTACTGTTCATTACATTTTTGTGCATGCAAGTTTGGAACCACCTAGGGTAAAAAAAGAAGGAGTGAATTTGCCACTAATGGTGATTCTCATGCATTCTGCTGATTGGAAGTACAAGATTGTATTCAATAGCGATAGAGGAGAGAGCAAGGGGTTTCAGATTGATAAACACAGAATCAATATGGTTTTACATTAACAGCAGGCTTTTGTTCCTCTAAAGATAGGTGCTTAGATCTGATCTAACTGCCGAAGCCCTTAGCAACCTTAGTTCCAGGTGTTCAATGATTGGTTATGGTTCCTGTGGAATTTTTGGAATTCACTGCTGTCAAGATATGCCAGTTATCTCTAGTTTAGAAGACTTTAAAAGAGGATTACAAATTCACGAAGAATAAGTATTGTCAATGGTGCCAGTCATGATGATTTTATGAGTCATCCCTGTTTGGAGGCAACATGTCTCTGAGAATCAGTTGCTGAGGTGTGTCAGAGGGAGTGGGCTGTTGTCTTGATGCCCCACTTACCGACTTCCCAGAGGAATCTGGCTGGCCACAGTGGGAGATGCGATGCAAAAACTAAACAGACCACTGGGCACATCCAGCAGAGTTCATCCTATGTTCTCTTGCTGGGGGTCTTTCCTAGAGATGTGGAGATCCAGGAGGAAAAACCTGGAAAAATGATAGGAAATTGGTTTCTCTCCCCACCACCCAACTTTTCCAGTTTTTTTTTTCTGGGCCTTGATATCACTAGCTATGCCACATCTATCTTTTTTTTATAAAAAAAAGTTCACATCTAAAATGAATATGACAAAGTTACTGAAAATAAGCTGAGCACTCATCCAAGACCAGAGGCTGTGGCTGACTATTGGATATAGGCCTGCTGCGGCGTAATATGTGAAATGGTCCTTAGTGCCAAGGTATCATCATGCAGAACACCAGCCATTGGCAGACTTGAAGGTTGCAGGTTCTAATTCATTTTTTTACACGGCTCCAAATTCAAAATAGTCACTTGGGGTGGCTGGAGCAAGATTCACACTGGGTGTGTGTGTGCGGGTTTCAGTGGGTGGAGCTAAGTATCCATGGCACTCCATGAGCTGGGTGGGCAGACTGCAGGTTTGGAAGACCTGCTTTGTTTTTTACTAGAACTCGGAGTCTTACCAACCAGAACCAAACAGTTGCTCAGATGGGAAGCTAGGAACTAAGGAACCAGGTGTCTCTGAGTTCAGGCTCTGTCCAGGAGTTTGTGATCAGTACCAGCACCAAGCTCATAATTCCTGCCACACAAAAATCCATTTATGGTTTTCCGGTGGGCAAGCTCTGTGTGTGTTGCCTTCTATTTGTTAGAAATGTGAGAGTCAGAAATCCTTGCTGATCTTCTGCAAACGACTTGGAGACCTATTGGTAGACCCCAGTCTACCATCTTCCCACCCTTGCCATGAGTCATAGCTGTAGCTGAGTAACTGAAGATCAGGGATTTTAATTGGCTTATTAAGAGGAGGGGCCCTTTTAGTTGTTGCTATTGATCAGGAAATCTTTCTAATCTACTGCAGATTACCCAGCAGAAAACCCTGGTTTTTTTCCAGCCCTGCTGTACACTACTATCCTGAAAAAAATTGCATCATTATCTCCAACATGTATTGCAGATTGTGCCCTGAAATTTACTGTGTGTTCGGCCCAGGAAAGTTCATTCTCAAATTAAGGTCTCTGAAAGTCAAGGGAAGGCTCTGATTAATCTCTAGCAATTCAAAAGACTGTATTCAAATAGGCGAGATTTTAAAGAGAGTCTTATTTTATATGGGGACTTTGTATTGTTCTGGAGCTTTGCATCATGAGTGGTGTGCTTAAATTGAGACCAGAGTGCGCTGGAGGCAAAACTGGGTTTGGATATTAAGCACGCACTTGTGGTTAGATGTGGATTTCGTTTGGGTTGGAAGCCCTCTGGTTGTATCCAAGCAACTCTGCTGGAGCTGAAGGGCTTGTTGCGTAGGAAAGAGCAAAAATCTATTCTGTGCTGCTCCAGAGGTCAGGACTATATGTCAAGGGCTCAAGGTACAGGATGGTAGATTTCAGTTGAACATGAAGGGGAAATGTCTTAAGGGTAAGAGGAGTTTGAACATGGAGACAGTTGCCTAGCAGGAGATGATATTCCCTCTCTCACTAGCAAGATCCAGACAGAGGCTTCACAGACATCTATTGGGATGCCCTTGCTCTGGATTTCCTACATTGAACAGGAGGCTGAATTAGATGGCTTACAAGTCTTCCCCACACACTGCCCTTAGAGCTTGCAGCTAGTATTATGTGGCCAACATTATCCTGATTTTTAATAATGGTCACAACTCTTCATTTCTACTAGAGTGGTTCCATTTCAGAAAGCCATGTGACTTTTATTAGATTCTGCTCCTTGTTTAGAGTACAGCTGTTTTCTTTGAACACAAAGAATATGTGAAAATAATTATGTATGTGTATATATTATTGCTGAGTATCCTTGAAATGCATCCAAATTGAATAGAAGATGGGAAATATAAGACATTTGCAAAATATTGACACTTGAAGGGGAAAAATTGTCGGCTACACTATAATACTTGTAAAATCAATCCTAAAGCTCAGATCTATGGTGCTGCTGGAAAAGACGGAAAAGAAAGGGCAAAGTCTCCCTCCTCTGAGCCCTTATCCCCCTGTGGAACCAACCATAAGTGTGGTTAGTTGAGAAACTGCTGCCAGCAGCGTTCCTACTGGTAGTGATAAGGATAGGTCGTTGTAATAGCACCATACATGGGTCAACTGAACCCAAAGCTGCTTGTTAACTTTGTCACTCCAGTGTTCACTGGCTGGGATTAAGATTACTCTGATGTTAGATTAATAATTTTTTAATGCCATGATGCATGACCAAAACATTATTTAGGATTTTCTCTAAATTAAATAACATTGAAGCTGTGTTCAACACCTGACATTAACCTATTGCAGGGGCCACCAGCCTTTTTTGGACCAGTGGGCACATTTCAGATTTTGAGAACATTGTAGGTACCAGTCACACACACACAAGCTGTCATTTGGAGCATGCCATAGCGCAACAGGGCTACCGCAGGGGGTGGGGCATAGCATGACACAGAATTACAGACAATACAGTCATTGCTGCTTCTCTTCCCACCCTACCCCCCAGAACAACCTCATGCTTACCGTAGGAAGTCAGTGATGTCCTGCTGGTCCTGACTGTGCAGATATAACTGCTAAAGGCAGTGCCAACCCTAAACCCAAAGCCTGGGAGACATTCCTAAGACTGTTTGCAAAATTTTAGCACTCTGCCTTTGCTGTTTAGAGAGGGGATTCTTTAACATCCACCTGCACTTACGTATTAGTATTAAGTATTAGTATTTGCGGAAATTAGCTTCCTAGGGAGTACTTGATCTCTGACAAGCCCACCACAGGAAAGATGCATCCTGGTTGCTAGGAAAAAAGGAAGGGCAAGCTATGGGTATTCCAATGGTTACTAGAAAATAAGAGAGAAGCAGGAGAAGTGCACTAAAGGAAAGGGGGAAATACAAACTGTTTAGGACTCCAGGGATTCCTATTGCCTGGTTTCCAAGCAACTGGGTCGTCAGTGACAGCTCTGACTTCACTCATTCGCTAAAAACACTGAAAGGCGTGAGCAGTCGGGCTGCATCATTTCACAGAAATTGCTTAGAAGGGTACCTGTACATTTTGCTTCCTAACGTTATTTCTAGGAGGGCTAGGGACTTGCTTTTATATATATATACAGTATATAAAACAACGAAAGCTCAGAGTCTGGACCCGTGCCTGGGAGCACCAATGAAAGACTTGGGCGTCAAGTTGGTAACTCCAGCCTATAATAAAAAAGCTGCTGATGACATTTGTTATGGTTGCAAGGTGCAACATGACATTGCATTCTCCTGGTTTGTAAACGTTCAAAATTTATTGATTCCTCAGTCAAGCATCTTTTGCTGTGATGCCTTGTTGTACTCTTTTTGGCGCCTCCTAAAAGTGCTCTTGTTTAGGCTAGCCTACCCAGACATGTGAGGGCGCGGGTGGCGCTGAGCCTAGGGCTTGCCGATCGGAAGGTTGGCAGTTCGAATCCCCGTGACAGGGTGAGCTCCCGTTGTTCAGTGCCTGCTCCTGCCAACGTAGGACTTCGAAAGCACGTCAAAGTGCAAGTAGATGAATAGGTACCATTCCGGCAGGAAGGTAAATGATGTTTCCGTGCACTGCTCTGCTTTCTCCAGAAGCGGCTTAGTCATGCTGGCCACATGACCCGGAAAAACTGTCTGTGGACAAACGGCGGCTCCCTCGGCCAGTAAAGCGAGATGAATGCCGCAACCCCAGAGTCGTTTGCAACTGGACTTAACTGTCAGGGGTCCTTTACCTTTACCCAGACATGTAAAGTTGACATATATTTTAATCTGCAGTTTTAGCATATGGTTTTTACTTACGTTGTATTGTAGTGATACTGTCGTCTAGAGTTTCCCCTCTCTGTCACTGCAGGGTGTTTCTATCGTCCCTTCCAAGGTTTTTAAAGCTCTTGAGATTCCCAAGGTTGCAGTTCTGTGCACAGTGGAGGATATTTATTTCCTGCCATGGTTTGGTAAAGATGCAATCCACTAAAGCTTCAAGAGCTAATTTTAATTTATCTAGACTGGTTGTTCTCTCTAGGGGGAGCTTCGTGCAGAAGGAAATGCTGAATATGATTGACTTGCGTGCATACGGTTTCCACTGCTGCTGCTGCTATGAGTCTTGCTGAGGGTGGGATGGAAAGGTTCTATTGAGGCTGTCATGTTTATCGATGGCCTGTCTGCAATTCCACTTAAATAACTTAAGTCTAGTCGTGCTAAAATAAATGACAGGCGGACTATACCCCAAGTTTTCAATTGTTTGTGATGACCATGTCCGATTACTGAACGAACTCCACTGGTTGAGCAGGAATAATTCTCTGACTTTACACACTTAACACTTGATCCAATAATGTTATAGACATTCTAATTAGACAAACCACTCTTGGTAGACGATGAAATGCATCAATATTAGTTGTCACCGTGTCAATTCTATTTATAGAGAACATTTATGGTTCATCTTATTCACAGTAATATCAGTCACCAGCTTTTGTCGCTTGTAACACCTTTTTCTTCTAAGGAGTAATGGGCTTCAAATCCTGGAAAGGAGCAAACCCTAGTTAGTGTTTACCTGTGATTAACTTTGGTGTGGTCATTCCAAATAGATGAGTCAAGCTGAAGCGGACAGAGAAGAGGGAATGTGATCCTTCAAGCCATGTCTACTGGTCCTGTGGTGTAGCATCTGTACAAGCCAATAGAAGTGGAGGTCAGAGGCATAAAAGGGACCTTTGAGAATACTAAGAACACAAGAAGAGCCTGATGGAGCAGGCCAATGGCCCATCTAGTCCAGCATCCTGTTCTCACAGTGGCCAACCAGATGCCTAAAGTGAAGCCCACAAAGCAGGACCAGAGTGCAACAGCACTTTGCCCACTTGTGATTCCTAGCAACTAATACTCAGCTCATGAATCTCTTAAAGCCATCCAAATTGGTGGTCGTCACCACTTATTGGGGCAGCAAATTCCTTTAACTAAGCATTGTTGATGTTATGTACTGAAGTTCTCACCCTGGGCCAGCAGGGGGATACTGTAGATAGTTTTCACTCAGGTCCACATATGCAAATAAGGGATTGAAAGTGACATTAAGTGATTGGATAGTTACAGAAAATGGTTACTGTTGCGTTCTAGTGGAGCTCTATATAAGCAGGCTGGCTGAACCCTTCAGTTCAGTTCTGTTCTGGCCTGTGAATAAACAAGAGCTGTTTGAAGAATCGCTGTGTCGTCTGATATGTTCACCCACGACTTAACAGTTGAATCCTCCTATCAAAATGGCTGCTTAGTGGAAAGGTTGGCTCTGATAAGAGAACTCATCCCCTTATCCCAACCATGAGCCTATGATAAGGAATTTGTATAACCCAAGTGTACACGTCTTCCTGTCTCATGACTGTATATGCCGTCAAGTAGCTGTACACTACAGTCATACCTCGGGTTGCAAACGCTGTGGGTTGCGGGTTTTCAGGTTGAGGACCATGCCGAACCCGGAAGTACTGGAATGGGCTACTTCCGGATTTCAGTGATCGCGCATGCACAGAAGTACAAAATGACGTCATGCGCAGAAGCGCCGAATTGTATCACACACGTTCGCAGACACGGCGCTGTGGGTTGCGAACACTGTGGGTTGCAAACGTGCCTCCCGCATGGATCACGTTCGCAACCCGAGGTATGACTGTATTGCCGAAACATGGTTCTACCAAAGCCACGCTGCTGTTTTCTCGGTAAGGCTTGTTCTTCTATATTCTACCGCATAACAAGTATGCAACAAAATGCTTCAATTGAGAAATCTGTCTTTTCTTTTTGGTAATGGGGAGTTTCCCCTCACCCCTTTCTGGCCTTGTGTGGTGCACTTGCTAGATGAGAGTGGATGAGGGAAAGCTTGGCAACAGTCAAACAGAAAATAGAGCGACACTCATTAAATCATAGAAGAATTAGAGCATGTAGAAATTTCAGTCTCTCTTTGGAAGAAAAAGTGGGTTGAGAGTACACATGGAAAAAAGATTGAATGAACAACAAGCTTCGGCTCAGAATTTTAAGTAACCTCCCTTTGTAATAGTTTCTACAGGCGAGTTCTAGTGCTGGAAGTGCTTGGATGGTCAAACAGAATAACAGTAGAAAATTCCAACAAGAATATAGTGCTCTCGTATTCTGCCTCATGCTTCACAGTGACCTGTCAAAGAAATATGTTGTTCATTGTTGATAACTGTTGTCTGTGTGGGCATGTAGGATGTGAAAGCAACACGAATTACATGGGGAGGGGCAGTGTTATATTCTCAACACATGCTACATTACAAAGCTACATGGCATGATCAAGGGCGTGAATTATGCAGTATCATAATGTGGTGTTAATGTTAAGCAATGCAATAGCAAGAGGGCATGAAAGAGCTGCTGGTGACAAATGCAAGAAATGAGCTGGCAGTGTCAGGTCTGGCAGGCACAATGGATGGGGCTGATGGGGCGCATTTGGCTTGAATGGTCACAAATGCAGGTTCAATTATTTGAAGGGAGAATGGGCGACCTACTCACTGTTAGGCAACACTGTATTTAGAAATACTTTAGCTGAAGATAAACTGCAATCATTTGTCTTCCACTATTTGTATTGTAGGCACTTATTTTATGTCATAACGTTTTGTTTTTATCTTGGAAGATCCCAGAGCCTTTACAAATGTTTCAGCTTTGGCACTTCCATTTCTGAGATGAAAGGCAACCAGTCTTTAGCACTGAGTTGAAACAAGCAACAATCAGGTTTCTGCAGATTGCCATTTGTTCTGATTTATCAATAAAGAGAGTGTTTTCTGGGGGAAAGCGGGGCAAAGGCAAAACTGCTTGGACCCATGGCCTAGAAAGCATGGGGCAAGCGGAAAACCACACAGACTCATGCTTTCTAGGCAAAGGGCAAGTGGAAGTGTGTATGAGCCCTCTAGAAAAAAATTCATTTTAAGATTAGGTGTGGGGAGGGAGACAGTATTTCCCGCATGTCATAAGTATGTCCTGCCTCAGTCCTAAGTGACGTTGGGGAGTAAGATTCATTTGCATTGTTTTCTAATTTCCATATTGTTTTTTTAGGTCTGTGGCCCTCATAACTCATCTGAACTCTGCCCATATTGGAGAGAACACCAACCCTTTGGTCACAATCCCTTTTTTTGAAAGTTCCCTATTTTAAAGATAATACTGTTCTGGAAACATTTCCTCTGGGCAAGGAATTCCCATTTGTTCACCCATAGTGCTTCAGAGGCATTATAGTGGTATGACCACTTTATTCTTGTGAGTCTTCTGGTGTACCTGACTAAATTCAACCCATGATGATGCTCATAAAGGGAAAGTCACATATTTAATCTTATGTCCAATCTGGCCTGAATGCCACATTTATCTATAGCTCTCCTTTTGGAGCAAATTGTGCCTTCCTGCGATCCCACTTAAAGGCTGTTAACTAGCCTGTGTGTGCAGCACCAAAAAATGTGTTACCATTTCATTTAATCAGAAGGGCAAATCTTCTTCCCAAGCAGATCAGTTTAATGCAGAGTTGTATAGTGTATATGTCATAAAGGATAAAAATAGTGCTGTCATGCAAGTAGTTTTTGATTTCACATTTAGCAGCAGTATAAAAGTATGACCAGGCCCAATATTTAGTCTCGACTGCTCTCTCCTAGATATTTGTTGCATGTAAGGTCATCTCAGCAGGTTTATCTAGCTTCTCATTTGAGGGTCCGATTTCTGCTTTTTTCAGTCTTTTTTGAGAGAGGGCAGTAAAACAGACTAAAAATAATATGGATATTAGAGTTTTTGCTGCCGGAACCTGTTCCAATGTACTGTATTGTGTAACTCTTGAGTCAGCATTCGGGACCAGGTTCAGTATCTAGAGGATATTCTTATATTACATTCTGGGACTCCAGTTTGAATGTCTATGAGTAGCAGCCTTCCCACAATACACACCCACTCATAAACCATGTGCAAGCAGTGTTGTTTATTCAGCTAACAGTGGATCACCAAGAGATCAACAATACAGGCAGCAGCACTCATGGCAAGAGAGAACTTCAGCAGGTGGCACTGGGGTCCATTGACAGCAGGGTAACTTTAATCATCTTTGTCAGGGAACTGCCATCAGTGCCGGAGGAAGAGAGCAAAATCCAGAGGGATTCCGGAGAGCGTCCCGGGAGTGGGAGAAGCAGCCCATCTTCTGGGGAAGAGAATCAGCGTAGCACCAGTGGAGAAGGGGGGCAGATGGGGGAAGCGGCGAGGCGGTCCCATGACTCCTTGCCGGGGACCAGCGGGGAGAGTAGAGGTCCTCCGCTGCCTACGCCCTCCTTGCGCAGAAGGCTTTCGCGCAGAGAGAGTAGGAGGAGACTAGGCGTCAAAGAGCTTCTTTGCTGGAAGAAGTTTAAGAAACGCCCACTGACGGATTCTGCCAGCGATTGAGACAGCCACGGGTGAGTGGCTGTCCGGACAGGAAAGGTTCACTCAGGCAACCCAGCCAGGTGTTTGCACCGGCTTACGCACGAGCAACCCCTAGAACCACTACAATCTTCTTCTCATCAGTTCATCAGTCATCTTCACAGGAAATACAAGCTGGGTATGGGGGAGCAGGCAGCCAACCCTTATGCACAGTGCTGGTCTTTAAGACAGCATAGCTTCTTCCTGGAAAGAAATGGTGTGTAGGGCTTGGATCTATGCAAGTCTCCAGCTGTTAAACTCAAGATCTGTTTTTCCTTTGGCTACATTCCATATGCCAGCTTCCCTACAGCCTGTGTTTGTGTTTTTAGAAGACCTTGTTCACCACAAGTGATCTTTAAAGTAGAGTGATAAGTACTGGCAACTTGAGATGCCCAAGTCTAGCTAGTATGGACTTCCCTAGCCTTTTTCTTTTTTCTATTGCCATCGTCCATTTTTAATGATGTGTCAAAGGAATTTCACTGGGATGCAGGGAGATTTTATTTGATTGAAATGTTAGTTTTATTCGTGTTACCTCAGTAACAAATTTTGATCAGTTTCCAGCTGATGCTACAATCTCTATGCTGTGAAAGCACACACCATTACTGTACTGAAGCCAAGCAGATCTGGCTCTTTTCGGTCCTCAAATGGGAGACCAGCTGAGCTGAGCAGCCTGAGTTCCATCGTGTAAAAAAGGCTGGGTATAAGTGTAATAAATGGTGGTTTGGATCCTAACTAGACACCTGCAGGCAGAAGGGCTCCTTCTATACATGGATGGGATTCAGATCCAGTGGAGTTTCACATTAGGGAGAGGCCGTTTCTGCCGATCCTTCCACTGTCTTCCAATGCTGTTCTAGACGGGGCCATACCTTCCAGAGCAGATTGTCAGGAGTAAAAGGGCCATCAGAGGGAAGGGGGAATAGGTGAAAATTCCCTCTCCCTCTCTTTTGCCAGTGGAAATATCCCAAGAGCAGAACCGCATTCAGGGGAAGGTTGTGCAAAGGTTGAGAAAGCAACCAGCCTTAACTTTAGGGCATACTGGCAGAGCAGGACTTTCTCTCTGTCCTCTCCCCACCATGCGCCCCTGCACCCTTCTCAGATCTGCCCCAGAGGGTCTGGAGAATCCCTGGGAAAGCGTACAAGGAGAGGGGAGATCATTTTGTTGGGCTTGAAGAAACGCTTGCAGTGGATCGATCCCCTTAGCGCTACATTGAACTCAACCCAATGTAATTCCATTAAACTTTGGCCTTTAGTTTTTACAGGAAAGCAGGTGTAATATTTGTCCCATTCCCCCAGCCTGCCTCCCCCCCCCCATATATATATATATACAGAGAAACATTCCCACATCATGCTGTTCATGTGATGTTGAACTCATGTAAAGCTTAATGTATATCTTTCGGCTTGTACAAACGCCAATTAATTCAGCGGTTGGATTTGCTGCCCTTTAAAAAGTTACGTCTACGTGGGCTTGTTTGTGTCACCCTTTTCCTTTTCTGAATGGGAGCCACTTCAAACAAAGCTGCTCTTCAAATAGTTCTGTAGTGAGGAAGTAGCATGTGTGCCAAGCAAGGTCCCATTCAGCTGTCAGTATCTTTCTTGCAATGGAAAAGCTTTTATGATGGGCGTGTGTGTGTGTGTTTTCCCTTCTCCTTTCCTTTTGGTGCAAGACAGAAACGATATACTCCATGAGTAAATTAATACATGAAATATACTCTAGAAGTAAATGTGTGAAATATAATGCACATGTAAATTAATATGTGGAATACAGTTAGTATTGCTCATAATTCACCCTAATGGTTGATTGCTCTTTGCAGACTGATTTTTATGCATGTTTACTCAAGCGGGTCAGTGTGTTTCAGTGGTTAGAAAGTTCAGCTTGGACCTTGCACATCAGGGTTCAAATCTCCACTCAGCCATGAAGCTCACTGAGTAACCTTGGACCAGTCAGTCTCTCACCTTGACCTACCTTTCAGGGTTGTTGTGAGGATAGAATGGGGAGAGGGGAGAACAACGTAAGCCATCTCGAGCTACTTAGATGAAAGGTGAGATAGAAATGTAATGATAAAGTGGGGGGAAAGGTCACACTGATTTCAGTGGGGCTCTCAGCCAAGATTTGCATCCTCTTGTTTGCTTGCTGCTAAATGGCGTTATATGTGCATCAGATATGAATCAATAGGCCTGCTTTGGTAGTTCCTGTGAATACTACAGAGAATGTTCCTGGATATAATTGTGCTTAATCACACACTTGACCACACAGCGCTGTGAGAGCTCAGCAGTGTTTGCTGTTGGAAACATTCAAGTGAAGAGAAAGAATTGATTTTCCTGCAGCTTTTGACCGCTACGGCCCTGCCATACATTTTTCAGTAGGCTAATGCAGAAACACAGAAAGGAGCGTAGTTGAGCTGCCTCGGACCACTGGTATGTCTGGCATAGTATTGGCTAGAACTGACTAGAAGTAGCCTTTCAAAGGTTAAGACATGGGCAACTCCTAATCCTTCCTACAGATGCTGCAGATTGAACCTGGAGACTTTTGCATGCAAATCATGTACCCTGCCACTCAGCTACAGCCCCTTTCTGCATCACTGCAATGTGGGACAACAGAAGGGACAGGTGTCTCAGTATATCAAGGCAAATGTTACAAAGTGAGTTCAGTTGCATTGGAGGTGTAGATCTGGCAGGCAGCCATGATTACGAAGGGCCAATCACTTGCGGCAGTGCATGGACGTATTTGGGTTGCAAATGAAGCAGCCCCTAACTATCCTTACTGGGCACATTCTAACGTCTATATAATAACTGCCAGATCCTCTTATAGATGTAGCAAACAATCTCCTTCAGTGCTTCATGCACCTGATCAAAGTGGAAGTGCAGAAGGGGGTCTAGCAGCATTTCAGATCCCCCTAAAGCGAGAACCTTTTAAAGTGTATAAACAGACTTGCCTTATTTGAATGGAACCCTGCCCACCTCCTACAGCCTCCCGGTAGCTCAATGATAACTGAGTTCTGAAAGTAGATTAGCATGGTGGGCTTTCTTGGCCTTGTCCCAAACAAAACCAAACAGTGAGGATGAGCGACTGGATTTTCAGTTCTTTATTGGCAAAGCACAGTGGTGCCTCGCAAGACGAAATTAATTCGTTCCGCGAGTTTTTTCGTCTAGCGAATTTTTCGTCTTGCGAAGCATGGTTTCCCATAGGAATGCATTGAAATTCAATTAATGCGTTCCTATGGTCAAAAAAAGTCCAAACAAAGCCAAATTTGGTACAACAATAGTTTATTAACTGCTCTTTAAAGTCACACATACTGTAAAGAGCATTTCAAAATTGAAGGAACAATAAATTAAGTTTCTAAACATGACAGAAAAACATTTAAAAATCAACAAAGTGTACTGTACATACATTTTCTAAGACTCTGGGGGACCACTCGAAGAAGGTTCCTCTTCCTCTTCCACTCTTTGCTTCTTGCTGAGGAACCTGTCCATGGTCTGCTGCTTCATCCGCCTTTTCAGCAGCTCCCTGAGAGGCAACATGACCGTCGTATCAAAAGTGTTCGCTTGGTCATGTGCCACGTGCTTGTTAGGGTGGTGCCGCTGTGCACTAGCCTGCACCTCCTTCCACTTCTGGCAAATGTCCCTCAGTTCTTTGGAGGACAGCCGTTCCTCAGTTGCTTCCTCCTCTTCCAGCGAGGCCTGCTCCTGCGCAACCTCTGCCTGCAGTTCAACCAGCTCCTGGGTGGTCAGCTCGTGGTCGTGCTCCTCCACCAGCTCGCTGACGTCCTCCTCTGTGACCTCCAGGCCCATGGTCCTCCCCAAGGCAACAATGTCCTGCACCACTGTTGACTCTGGTGCATCAGAGTCACTTGGTGCCACACAGTCCGGCCACAGGCTGCGCCAAGCGCAATTCAAATTTCTCTGGCTGATCCCATTCCAGGCCATGGTGATCATCTTCAAGCAGGTGACGATGTCGAAGTGGTCCTTCCAGAATTCCCACAGGGTGATGGTGGTGCAATCAGTCACCTCGAAGCATCGCCTGAAAAGCTCCTTGGTGTAGAGTTTTTTGAAATTGGCGATGACCTGCTGATCCATCGGCTGGAGCAGTGGCGTGGTGTTAGGCGGCAGGAACATGATTCTGATGAAGCTGAACTCCTCCAACAAGTCCACCTCAAGGCCTTTAGGATGAGCAGGAGCATTGTCCATCAGAAGCAAAGCCTTCAGCAGCAGGTCGTTGTCCAGCAGGTACTGTTTGACAGCAGGGCCAAAAGCAAGATTGACCCAGTCCACAAACAGCACACGTGTGACCCAAGCCTTACTGTTGGATCGCCACATGACACTCAGCCGCTCCTTGTCGACCTTGTGTTTCTTGAAGGCCCGTGGGTTCTCCGAGTGGTACACCAGCAGGGGCTTGATCTTCAGGTCGCCGCTGCGTTGGCACAGAAGAGCAGGGTCAGACGGTCCTTCATGGGCTTGTGGCCAGGCAACTTGGCCTCCTCCTGTGTGATGAAAGTCCTTTTGGGCATCCTCTTCCAAAACAGCCCGGTCTCGTCGCAGTTGAAGACCTGCTGTGGAACGTAGCCCTCCGTCTTCACAGCCTCCAGGAACTCTGCTGCAAAGTCTTCAGCCGCAGGAACATCAGAACTGGCAGCCTCTCCATGCCTGACCACGCTGTGGATTCCAGATCTTGCCTTGAACCGGTCAAACCAGCCTCTGCTTGCCTTGAAGACTTCTGGCTCGCCTGAGGTTCCTGGCTGTTCCCGGATGAGGTCTGCGTGCAAGGCCTTGGCCTTCTCACAAATGACGGCCTCAGTCACTGTGTCCCCTGCACGCTGCTTCTCTTCTAACCAGATGAGCAGCAACTTCTCGACCTCCTCCAGAACAGCTGGGCGGTTCTTCACGATCCTGGTGACTCCCTTGGCTGCATCAGTCGCAAGGATCTTCTCCCTCATCTTCAGGATGGTCCCGATGGTCGATGGGTTCCTGCCGTACTCCCTGGCGAGGTCTGTCACACGCATTCCACCGTCGTGCTTCCAGATGATCTCCTTCTTCATTTCCAGCGTCACCTTCTCCTTCTTCCTCTCGCCGGCCTCCTCAGCAGCAGTCTTCTTGGGTCCCATGGCAGCACAGCTCTTAGCTTCGTAAACTCAGAAAAAGAAAAAAAAAAATCAGCAATTCAAACCCAGAACCAAGTCCTTGAATTCCAAACACCCAACCCAAAATCCAAAAACCCCAAAAAACGTATTAAAAGTTTAACTTACGAAATGGCTGCAAATCACCAAAGACTTCAAAATCCTCAAATGGCTGCAAAAGAAGATTTGGGAAAGCTTTAAAAATCACCAAAGTCTTCAAAAACCTCAACTGTTCCCCCAGCCCCTCCCCAACTGTTGCAAACCCCTCCCCAACTGTTCCCCCAGTTACCCAGCACACAGAAATTCAAACGCAGAAATTTTTTTTCAAAAAAACCCAACATGGCCCAATGGTCACAGAAAACCATAAAAATTCAAAAAAACCCACACAAGCTCCCAGATTCTTGCAAACCCCTCCTCAACTGTTCCCCCAGCCACCCAGCACACAGAAATTCAAAACCCAGAACTTTTTTTCAAAAAAAAAAACATGGCCCAATGGTCACAGAAAACCATAAAAATGCAGAAAAAACCACACAAGCTCCCAGATTCTTGCAAACCCCTCCCCAGCTGTTCCCCCAGCCAGACAGCACACAGAAATTCAAAACCCAGAAATTTTTTTCAAAAAACAACAACATGGCCCAATGGTCACAGAAAACCATAAAAATTCAAAAAAAACCACACAAGCTCCCAGATTCTTGCAAACCCCTCCCCAGCTGTTCCCCCAGCCACCCAGCACACAGAAATTCAAAACCCAGAAATTTTTTTCAAAAAAAAACAACATGGCCCAATGATCACAGAAAACCATAAAAATTCAAAAAAAACCCACACAAGCTCCCAGATTCTTGCAAACCCCTCCTCAACTGTTCCCCCAGCCACCCAGCACACAGAAATTCAAACCCAGAAATTTTTTTCAAAAAAAACCAACATGGCCCAATGGTCACAGAAAACCATAAAAATGCAGAAAAAAACCACACAAGCTCCCAGATTCTTGCAAACCTCTCCCCAACACCAAGTCATTGAATTCTAAACACCCCAACCCAAAATCCAAAAACCCCCAAAAAAGTTTTAAAAGTTTAACTTACCAAATGGCTGCAAAAGAAGTTTTGGAAAAGCTTAAAAAATTCAGCAAACTCTTTAAAAAGCTCAAAAAGGCCACCACACCGCGTGCTATGTGTTGCTCCTCGAAGTCAAGTCGCAACTGCACCTCTTCAAGCAATGCACCCTGGGTATTAACGGTTTTAAGACAAAGGAAACAAACTTGCAAGACGTTTTTGTCTTGCGAAGCAAGCCCATAGGGAAATTCGTCTTGCGAAGCAGCTCAAAAAACGCAAAACTCTTTCGTCTCGCGAGCTTTTCGTCTTGCGAGGCGTTCGTCTTGCGGGGCACCACTGCATTTGGTTCATCAGCTCCTAACGTACAAGAATACAACAACACTGCCCCGCTAACTAGCTGCTTAGCCACCTGCAACTATGCTGGCAGCTTCTGTTTTGATGGTAGATGTTTATACACCCACCATGCCTTTTAATCCAGGCCAGCAAGGGCCATTTCAGCCAGGCAACAGCTCGCAAAGAGGGTATGGAGCAGGTCTGATGTGGCCTGAAGGGGTGGCATCCTTGGGGCCAGATAGAGAGGGCTACATTTGGCTCTTGAGAATGAGGTTCTCCATCCCTGGTGTAGACCATATGGAGCTTAGGTGGACCAGTGCTCTGATTCATCAGGCAGCTTCCTATGCTCTCATGCTGCCCAATACTCAGTACTTCCAGATGAGTGGTATGTGCATTACAATATTAACAACTTCCATGTGGTCCACAATGCTGTCAGAAGCATGCTTGTTCCCGAGAGGCACTGATCTTTTACTCGTAGCTTCTAAATGGGAAGATACAGTCAGTCATCCATCTTGGCAGCCAAAGTCCAATGCTGGAGGAAGGGAAGAAAAGGCCTGCCTTGGCATGCTTGCCAGAGCTCCAACAGCTGCCCTAACACTGTGCTATTCTTTCCATCTAGCAGAAGTTCCATCTTCACTGCCAGGACTTAGAAAGTAGCTCAATACAGGGACCTTTTTGATGGCAATCAAAAAAAGCAAAAGAGCCCGATGTAGCAGATGGGCAGGAATACAATATCTAGCATCAGCAGCAGATTGTGAAGACATTGGCTGTTAATTTGCAACACCATGTTATATCTGCATTATTTATTTTGAGCCCCTGACAGTGGAAGGCTAAAAATGTTCTGCACATATGAAATCGGTTTCAGGTTGATCGGTTGCGGAGTGGCATAGAGGCCAATGGGTATATTGAGCAACAAGATAAAACACCCAGGGGGGGCCACTTCTGACAAGTAGTTAGTCATATGTGAGCATGAAATAAACTCTGCATGGAAGTATCATTAGAGAAGCTGATTTGCTTCATTTTTGCCATGCTGAAATCATCCCAGAGAAAAAGATGTATTCTGACTTTCTACTCCATGCCCACGCTTAGATATATTACCTAAATAGTACAGACACGTACTGATTTTAATATTCCTTTTACGCCCTGGAAATTTGAGCTAGGTGTCTCTTAATAGAGCATTGTATCCATCCTCACAAAGCTACAGGAAGGAACTGGTCAGCAGTGTGGGGGAATTCCTGGTGATTCCATGTACCTTCCCTCATCGGCTCTGGAGCAGACTTAGAAGTATGTGGGAGGAAGGGGAATAAACAGAAATTTCCTACCTCCCCTGTTCTGTTGGCAGATTCCTTCTGTCAGGGGACAGAAAACATGGGATACCACCCATAATTCCCAAGATTCTTGGGATGTTGCAATAGTTAAGCTGTTATAAATTCTATATATAAGCATGCAGTATGTTGAGTCACTTACCGGAAGATAGGATGACATAATTAGGGTAAGACCAGCTGCCTTCAGTTTTTGCCTGTGTTTTTCAACTGGTACACACATATTTTCAGATGGACACCATCTGTGTCCATCACTGTGGTGAGAACTTTAATGATCCGTGTAATAATGAAGCAGTAAACTTATTTCTGCTGGAAACGGACCTAAAAAGGCTGATGAAATAGTAATTGTCTTAACTAGGCTGTGTAGTTGCATAACAGCAGAAACGGAGAGGCTTAGACTTTACCCTAGCTGGTGGAAAAAAACAAAACAAAATCCCACTATCTTCAGTTATAATAGAATGTCCAGGATACAGGTGTGTAGATAAGTGACAAGCAAGCTGTTTGTTCTAAAGACAAATGTTCAAGTGAGGCATAAGACTCTCTGAGCAGGTATTCTTTATGTATTTCTTCTATCTGTACACACAGAATAAGAAGATAGGAAGCTGTCTTATGCTGAGTTGGACCATTTGCCCATCTAGCTCTGACTGGCAGCTATTCTCTCTTTTTTTTAATCGTTTTTATTGATTTTCCAATAAAATACATCCAATTAAATATCGAGTCATAATACTTCAATGAAAATAAAGTCTCTAGGACTTTAGTCAAATTTGTTTTTCCTGCCTTGTCAGGAGATGTTGGGGATAGAACCTGCGATCTTCTGCATGCAAAGCAGTTATTCTACTTCTGGACTTAGGCTCTTCTCCCAATCAGCTTAGGCAACCCTTTGTTGGAGTCCTGCTGAATACTATCCTGGTGGTGGTAGCCCTCCTCCATACACCTGCTTTTTTGTGTTTCCCAATTGCAAGTGGGGCTAGTTGCAGCAAGTGGGTAAAATGCCATTAGGGGTGGGTGTAGCTTGCCTTCAGGAGATCCTGGGCTCAGTCCCTAACATCTTTTATTTCAGAAGTTCAGGTATCAGGGAATATGGTAGACCCTGGACAGGCACTGCACGTCAGAGTAGACCACACTGGACTAGTTTGACTTGGTATAAGAAAGCTCATACCAATAACAAACTTAGTTGGTCTCTAAGGTGCTACTGGAAGGAATTTTTTTATTTGGTATAAGATGTTTTCCTATGGAATCAAAAGTGGTTCTTCCCACTTTCTCAGAAAGCCCCACTTATTTTGTGTGTGTTCTTTCACCTACTGCCATAAGTTTTCTAGTATAGAAAAAGTGCTGCCCCACACTTAAAAAGGACAGCACTGGCCATGATTTTAAAAGTCTAACGACCTGTGAATCCAGAGGATTGCTGAGCTGTTAAGCTAGTTTTACAAATGTCACCACATTTATTAGTGCCTCATTATGAATTGTCTGCTTGCCTTCCAAATGAGTAAAATCCTCAATGTGTTTACATTTTTGCTTTGTTTTTGTTTTTTAGTAGAGGGCAATCAATGACTCCTGGTTAAGAAGGCTTCTGATATCTGTTGCCTGCAGGCATTGCCCATGGGAGAGTAACAGTTAAGAGTGTTAAGGAGTTGTCCTCTTGGTGGGATGGAATGAGAAATGGGGAGGTACACAGCTTAGCTGTCACTAATGTCCTCATCATGCATTAATGGACCAGGTTCATTGATTTCATTTGGCAATGATGGGAATTCCTACATGTTGATGCCGTGGGGAGATGTTGCTGATACTGGGCTAGATGGACCATTTGGTGTGACAGTTCTTTTATAAGCTCAGACAGCATCCAGTCTAGCAGAACGAATATGACCTACATTCCATTGGAAGGCCAGAAGCAGCGAGCCAAGTAGGATGGTTGTGCTAATTTCAACAACAAAATGGGTGGCCCAGATAGGATCCGTGTTTGAATATGTTTATTTAGCAAACAGAGCTTCATCTATGCCCTTGCCCTCCATGCCCATGAAACTGTATCTCCCTCAGATGTTCTCTCAGAAGCTTCAATAAAAAGGAATCTTTCTGACAGCTGTGCAATCATACTGGGTTTCATTGACTTTCCAGTGAATGAAGTTTGGGATGACAGTTCGGTTGCACATCTGGTTTAATCCTTTTATCTTTTCCCATTCCTAAATAACAAAGATTGCAGCAATGCAAATGAAAAGAGTAGAAAGTGCTGCGTTTATGGCTTCATTTGTGCACAACTGATGATTCACAACAGAACTACCTGGGATAGCTCAGTTGGTAGAGCATGGGACTGTTGATCTCAGGGTCATGGGTTTGAGACCCACATTGGATGAAAGATTCTTGCATTGTAGTGGTTTGGAATAGATTACCTTTGTGGCCCCTTCCAACTCTATAATTCTAAGTCTCTCTTCCTCTGTTCTTCTTTCCAAGGTACTCTATTATAATTCTGATCATCAGTCTGTACACTCCCTTAGTTTACATTTCATGCCATTGAGTCTTTTGTGTATGTGACTGTTTTGGTTTGTTTCTGGCTATTTGGGTCCCCCCCCCCACTTTGCCCAGGGCCCTTTTCTAATTAATATATTCTAATTATTCTTCCTGTTAAGATCTTCCCTTTGTGTATGTGTGGTGCTGTTTTTGGTTCAGCTCTGTGAGCAGATTCAAATCAAAATGGAGCAAATCATCAGACTTGGGAGTTCTGATTATATAATTTCCTGCTTAAAATGATATTGAAAATTAATACATGAAAAACGATTGACCGCTCTGTTTATTTTCTTTTTAAATTTTAAACCAATGAGAAATAAACACAATTCAATTCATTCTAAAACTTGGTTGTTCATATGCCATTTTAGGACCAAGCAAATTAAATGAAAGCTACAGTGGGAATTCCTTGACTGTCAGCTGTTTCATTCCTTAAAGAGGAATCTTCTATATAAGGTGCATAAGCCCTTTGTTAGGGCTATCACAGATACCCTAAAGCTCTTAGGGGTATTATTCAGCTGATAGATCACGCGTTCCCTCTGAATCATTTTGCATTTCATATAGAAGAGGCGGCAGAGATTCCCACCCCCGGAAAAATGCTGTAGGTTCTGAAACATTATTAGAGGATAATATCATTACTGTGCACATCCTCTGTTAATTTCCTGAGTACTTCCTCCATGTGAATTTATTTTGTCTCATATAAAACGGTATCGCACACGCACGCACACAACCTTGCTTAAAGGTATATTCACACTCCTTGCTTAAAACCCTATTTGGTCACTGATCATTAATTTTTTTGCCACTGCTGATAGGTCATCTGCAGAAGGCTTCAGTTTTGTAATCCTTTGAAAGCCTCTAACAGAGAGCTGAGAGCTGGGAAGGAAAATAGCTTGGAAATGATGGGTTCAGGGACAGTTTGATGACACAGAAAGGCAGGGGTAGGGAGCCATGTTTGGGCTACCATTTCCATGATTCCTGACCACCCACCATGCTAGTTGGGGCTCATTGGTTTAACAACACTTGAGCTGTCACAGGTTCCCCATCCTAGCAAAAGGGTGGGATGGAGGAGAAACAAGCTCTTTTCTTGCATTTACTAGGTCTCTTGACATACATTAATTGAGGAGCCAATCCTATGCACATTTACCAGGGAGCAAACCCGCTGGGCATAGTAAGACTTGAGTCAGAGGACTGGGCTATAAAATGCATAACCATTGCCTGTCTGCTTTGCTTTAACTACAGTGGTACCTCGGGTTAAGTACTTAATTCGTTCTGGAGGTCCGTTCTTAACCTGAAACTGTTCTTAACCTGAAGCACCACTTTAGCTAATGGGGCCTCCTGCTGCTGCCACACCACCGGAGCACGATTTCTGTTCTCATCCTGAAGTAACGTTCTTAATCCGAGGTACTATTTCTGGGTTAGCGGAGTCTGTAACCTGAAGCGTATGTAACCTGAAGCGTATGTAACCCGAGGTACCACTGTATTTCCATGCAACGTTGTCTGATTTAATCACTTAAGGATGGATATAGTCATGTGCTGGATTGAAATTAATACCTCTATGTTTGAAAACCTCTACATAAAATTCAAATAATGTAGGGAAGAGCATTACAGCCTCCTGTATCTTCATCCTTGATTTTATTTGAAGCTGCCTTATATTCGTTGATCCAACTAGTGTCATATTGTTTACTCTTGACAGGAGTCCTCCAGAGCCTTGGGGCACATCAAGGTCTTTCCCAGTCCTGCTTTTTAATTGTTTGTTTATATCCCTTAAGGCAGGGGTCAGCAAACTTTTTCAGCAGGGGGCCAGTCCACTGTCCCTCAGACCTTGTGGGGGACCAGACTATATTTTGAAAAGAAAAAAAGAATGAATTCCTATGCCCCACAAATCACCCAGAGATGCATTTTAAATAAAAGCACACATTCTACTGATGTAAAAACATGCTGATTCCCAGCGTCTGCGGGCCGGATTGAGAAGGTGATTGAGCTGGATCCGGCCCCTGAGCCTTAGTTTGCCTACCCATGCCTTAAGGTAAAAGAGGTGTGTATATCCATGCAAATTAACTGTGAAAGATCCCAGGTCCTGTTCCTTGCCCATTCTTCACTTATGGCCTTGCCATCTAAGCAGTGTGTCTCACTGATTCCCCCTCTATCTCTGACTGGATTTGGGACAAAGAAATAAATCCACAAAACAAACCTCTAAATCTGGTCCAGAATATAGTATTGCATGTCATTTTAACATACATATGCAGAACAAGACAACATGTATTTAAATACACTGCAAAGTTTTGATGCAGTATCTTTGTGTGCATAACGATAGTATATAGTATGTGGCTTACCCAAATCTGACTTTTTTCATGTGACCACTTAAAGTGATAACTCATACTTGCTTTGTCACTGAAGCATGTATATTGTTTGACAGGTACATTCATTGAGCTCTATCTGGGGCAGCTGACTTGGGACATCAAGGCAACCAAACCTTCATATGCATGTAGTAATTGAAATTACTTGTATGAGAAGCGTAGTTCTGAAAATCAGCTTGTTTGGAAACTGTGTGTTAGTATGACCTGGGTCATATTAAAGAACTAAATTGTCTTTCCACATTCTCACTAGGGTCTACTTCATATTTCTACAGGGATGCTCTCTGGAAATATTTGGAAAGCTGTTTCCTTAATGGTTCTGTTTCAAGCTTACACTGTTCAATTTCAGCTCTTTATAGCTGCTTTGAAAGCTCCTGATGTAAGAATACTTGCCATAAAGAAGCACTAATATCTGAAAATGCATCTGTTTCCTTTTGCAGATGTCATGATATCTCAGCTGGGACCAGTAAGAATGGACAAATGTTTAGTGTGTTGCACTAAAGCAAGAATTGATACAAGCATCCTTTCTTATCTGTACAGCAGGTCCCACCAGGTTCTATTTCAATAAAAGGAGAAGTGGTGATCCAAGTCAGATGATAGCAACTGCTATTTTTAAAAGAGATTGAGTAAGAAGTCAAATGATGTACCTGCTGGATCATAGTGTTGATTACTGAACCAACTCGCTGACTTTCAAGTCCTTCGGGGCGTGTGGTTTATTTTCCTCGAATTTCAAGCCAACTCCAGCAAATGAACATGTTTGTTCTTTCTTTTTAATAAGTAAATACGTTCTGCAATTTAAATGTTCAGTACAAATTAGCTGGCATGTCATGGCTCTCACCCAAATCTGTAGTTGGAAGGTCTATAAAGTTTCAGTGACCCATGTTTGGCCGAAGCGCTGTTTGGGGTGGGGCATGGAATGGAGGAATTGGTCTTCTAGCTGGTAGAGGCTCACCTGAATCTCGGGCAGAAGTATTTCACAAATTTACTATGTGATCCTTTTAATGACAGGAACTGAAGCTGGGATCTTATACATATGAAGCATGTGCTCTGTGTTCCCTCCCCAACTTGGGTCATGAAAGACATGGTATTGTACAAATTAAAGGAGTTGTGGCACTTCTAATGCTTAAACATGTTTTAGCGTACAGTATTTCCAACACAACCATAATCTTCCAAGTGCAAAGTGTTCATAATAAAATGTCTGCATGTTCTGGTTATTTTCTTAGAGATCACTTCTGCCAATGGCAGGCAAGCTTTATTTCTAGTTGTCCAAACTCTTAAGCATATTGTTTGGTGTTTGAGACAGCCTAAGTTAGGTAAGCATAAAGGTAGAAGCAACAGCACAATTATCTATATGTCTACTCAGAGATAAGTCCCACTGAGCTCTGTGGGTCTTTCTTCCAGGAATATGGACATAGGGTTGTAGTTGAAGAAATCTCATGAATTTATAAAAGACTTGTATCTTTTTATTATATTTAAATTACATTAGTCTCCTCACACGATAATTATGTATGAGGCTTTTAGGAAACCCTAGGCAATTCACTTATTGTAAATGGTTTGTTTTTCTTTGGGGGGAAATATTTTAAAATCTAGGACTTCCAGCTAATGCAGTTACATGAAAAATTAAATGTGTTTTTATGGGATCTTCATAGATCTTAAAGGCTTTCTGTTTCCTTAGAGAAAATGAAAACTTCTAGTGAGAGGACTTGTTTCCTCATTTTCTTTCCAGGTACTGGGCTGTATTTATCCATACAGAGTGTCCTCTGCGCTTTCTTTGGCACTTCTTGGAAGTGTAGGTTATGATCTGGAAGAAGCAGAAACAACATGGCATAGGGCACCCCAAACAAAGCATACACCTTGGTTTCTAGATCTGTCAAGTTAAAGACTGAGCTGAGATTTGAACTAAGAGTTTCCCAGATCCTGCTTTTAGCTGCTGTATTACACGGGTTCTTTGCCTGGGTAGAACTAAAATGAAGTAGTCACTTTAACTATGGAATTTCCTAAGAGGGGGCAGTGTGCCCATCAGTACCTCCATGATGTCCATGCAAATGTCTCCATAAGTATCCCCACATCTATCAAGCAGAAGAGAGTGTTTCTTCTTCCTGTTCATTTCCTGCTTGACATCCAAGATATCTATTTTTAGGATCCACCCTATTCTTCTAATGATAAAGTGTTTTAACTGGTTTTATTTATGTATTTTTACATTGTTGTCACCCACCCTGGGACCTTATGATGATGCAGATTAATGGCAGGTACATCTAAATCATCATCCTAAAACACAGACAGCAGTGCATCCATTAACGCAGGCATCCCCAACCTTCAGACCTCCAGATGTTTTGGACTACAATTCCCATCATCCCTGACCACTGGTCCTGTTAGCTAGTGATCATGGGAGTTGTAGGCCAAAACATCTGGAGGGCCACAGGTTGGAGATGCCTGCATTAACAAAACAGTATAATCATTAGTATAATAAAAAGGGCAAAGTTCAGAAAATAGTCTTACTAATTCTGCCATCCGCCATATACAAGTGACTCTTTAGCTTAATTGACTAAATATGACATAATGCCATCATTATCAGTCGTCCAGCAAACATACTGCAATCAGCAAAGCAAGATGCAGTTTTCTGTGGTGCATGAGAACAGGCTTTGTAATAAGCTTTTTGCATTAACAGATTGCTGTAAGTCAGCAGCCTGGCAGGGAATAATTAGTGAACAACATTGGAGTGATGTGAAATTAGCACCAAGAGCCCAGTTATCATTTGTTTTTGAGGAGTGGCTTGCTGCAGCTGGTCTTTTGCCCAATTACTCAGAGGCTTTGCACATGAGTCTCGGAAATCATCCCTGGATAAAGGGATCAGACAAATATCAAATGGTAAATATGTTTACATGGAAGGAAGGATCAAAGTATGAAATTTTGATACAGGAAATTGTCTGATCATCGAATCCAGAGCAATTGTTCCTACAGTTGTCAGCCCAACTTTGTTTGACTTGCATTTTGTTTATTTGCAAAAGCTTTTCTCTTTCACTGCTAATTTATTTATTTTTTAAGTAGGATAAACAGAACATTAAGTTCTCACTTACCATTGTGTCTACCTTCTAGTGAGATGGCAGTCTACTATGGAACCTTTGAAAAATCTTTCCTCCCTCTTGTCCCTCTCTCTGCCACCTTGCACCTGTTATGTCCTTTCACAGTCAAATTATCTGCAGTATTTGTGTTATTATTAATAATATTATTATTATTAATATAATGTGTGTTAGTCACTTTATCTTGCCCAGGGCAACCCAAAGTGGCTTACAGCCAAACAAACAGACAACAAACCCCATATAGATACATTAAAACCAAGAGGAAAGAGAAATAGAAACAGGGAGCCACTGCAGGAAACACATATACTGCAGATACAGTACAGTGGTACCTCAGGTTACAGACGCTTCAGGTTACAGACTCCGCTAACCCAGAAATAGTACCTTGGGTTAAGAACTTTGCATCAGGATGAGAACAGAAATTGTGTGGCAGCGGGAGGCCCCATTAGGTAAAGTGGTACCTCAGGTTAAAAACAGTTTCAGGTTACGAACGGACCTCCAGAACGAATTAAGTTCATAACCCGAGGTATCACTGTATTGGGAAGAAGCTTTGAACAGCTTCAGGGTGCCACTCAAACTCCTCTCCTCTCCAGCTGCCTATCAAAGCCTCAGTGAATAATTTGAGTGGGACAGAGGGCAGTTTCCCCTGTCCCTTCTAGGAAGCTTTTGTTCACTGGCTCCAAAGAACATAGGTTTTCCCAGTGTTGTTTTGGCCTTGCCTGCTTCACCTATGAATCTGATAGCTTTGTAAGTCAGTGGTGTGGAAACACAGGCCCTGGGCCCCAAATGTAGACCTACTTGACCCTCAGGACACTCTCCTCAGGCTGCACTCTTTCCAGGCCTGGCTTTCCCCCCTCCGCAAGCCTTTTTTAATTTTTGCCTTGCATCATATTTCAAACTGGTGTTTTAGGGAGGCTTCCTATTGCTGTAAGTGAATTGCAGCCACGCCAGTTCATCTGCCCTTTTTCTTTCTCTTTAATAATGGCTATCCATGTAGGATGCCCCATTGGGTGAGTTCAATGGAGTTCATTGGTTCAGTGGAGACGGCACTTCTTTCTTGGATCAGATGTCATTTGAAAGGAGCCAGAAGTGTGCTTTCCCCACTTTTCCTGTGCTCCCTTAGCTTCCTAGGAGGCTCTAGACAGGGATGGGGAACAGTGGTCTTCCAGTTGTTGTTGGAGTCCAACTCCATCGTCTCTTGCTGGGAAAGCTGGCTGGGAGTTGCTATCCAACAATATATGGAAGGCTGCAGGTTCCCCACCCCTGCTGAAAGATGCATTCGGGTGATGGAGGGAAAGGGTTATTGGGGAGATCAGCAAGGGTCTCCCTCCTCCCTGTCACCTAGCTTTTAAAACTTTGCAAGGGACAGCATACCACTCCTTTCCCCTAAGAGGGGTTTGTAGTTTTCCAAAGGGCCACCATGTCTTTCATCATGGTGCTTTATTCTCATCCCAAATGACACTATCCAGGCCCAAGGCAGTCTGGGAAGGGGAAACAAAATGGTGGCTGGAGACACCAAAGAAGAACAACTTTGCCAGCTTGGTTATGGCCATTGCCACTTCTATAGGCAGCAGCAAAGAAGGAAAGAGAAAGAAAGAAAGAAAGAAAGAAAGAAAGAAAGAAAGAAAGAAAGAAAGAAAGGCCCGCTACCACCGTCCTATCTCTTTCTATCATTAGCCCAAAGGTGATGAATTTAGGCACACATTAGTATGATAGGACCAAATAATCAGGGTATTATTTTACCTCGGCCCTAGAATGAGGTCTGTTAGCTATATGTGTTGCGGAGATGTGAGGGAAGCTAGAAATAAGTTTATTGAGAAACGTTTTCTCTGCTGTTGTGTTAGTGTGTGTGTAGCTTTGTTTTAATGAATTTTTGAGCCTTATGTTAGATCTTGTTTACAGCATTAACGTTAGTGTATCATTGTTCGGGCTGATGGCCCTGCCGCATGCCATTCTCGGAAGTTCTGTCGGTGTGAAGCCCTGTGTGGATAAACTGCTCAGAGACATTCGATATGGCTATATTTAGCCCGTATAAAATGTTGTACCTAATCCCCTTCCGCCAGCTTCTCAAATAACGGTTCACTTGGCTCCAGGAAGGCTCATGTAACTATTTGTCTCTTGTCTGATCGAAAGGAAGACTGGGGGCCGGCGGGGGGGTGGGGGAGACACAAGTAAAGAGGCTAAAAATAAGCAAATGCCTGTTGTTAGCAGGCTTATTTTAGGTGTATGATTCCGTTTGAAAGCAGGAAAGACATGGAGGCTGAGGGGGCTGGGATAGCGATGGACGTGAATCATTATTTCAGATCTCCTCATTCAACCATGAATTTGGAATTGATATAAAGGAGTCTTCCTCAACCTGGAGCCCTCCAACAGACTCCAACCAATGTTCCCTTCTTTCTAGTTGAGAACCTCGAACCTCAGGCTGGTCAGATAAACCAGACACTCTGGGTAGACAATATTGTGCCTTCCAGATGTTGTGCAACTGCAGAAGCAGCTGATGCAGCACCAGTCTAATGTGCTTTGGCTGACCCATTAGCAAATGATGGACAGCCATGGCGTTTTTCACCAGCTAATGTTTCTAAACCATTTTTGATGATGTTAATTAATAGATTAACATCATTTTTAGATCAGCTTATTTTAACCTGGTGCCCTTCAGCTCCCACTACCCTTGAGCTTTGGCCATGCTAGCAGGTGCTGACAGGATCTGGTGTTCAACAAAACCTGAAGGGACACAGGTTAGCTATCCCTTCCCCAAAGCCTTCCATGATACAAGGTGTGAAATTGTCTTACCAGTTGTACAAATCATCTAATGATTCCATATTTGTCTCCTTGCTTCATGCCCTCCTATTATCCCTAATGTAGCTTTTGATTTTCTTTGTTTTTTCTTAGGTACTGCTATGTGGATACTGGTTAGCAATGACTGATGTGGAATCTACATATGCAGATTTCATTGCTTCTGGGAGAACCGGGAGAAGAAATGCCCTTCATGATATCCTTGTGTCCTCTGCAAGTGGAAATTCTAGTGAACTATCCTTGAAGTTATCAGAACTTGATATAAACAAAACTGGTAAGTACTAATCTAAAAGGTTAAGAGAAAAATCATTAATAAGTCTGCAAGGGACATCATTTACGGAAACAACATGCTGGGCTTTAGTGGCTTTTCACATTTATTGTTATTAATTTATTTACTTTTTAAAAAAATTAAATGTCTTACCTGCTCTTCTCCTTAAGGTTCCAAAGCAGGCTACAAAAATTTAAAATTCAGTGTTAAAAATTAGTCTTTAGCTGGTTTGTATATGAGGGCATTTTATGTACTTCTATCTAGTGCAAGGCCATAGCAGAATAGTAGACTAGTTCATGAAATATGTTGCTGTATAAAAAGGACATCTCTGCTTTTTTGAGTTAATGCAGGCTACCACAACCCACCTACAATATGCTAACTTCCCCCTTCAAAAACAGATGGATTGTCATTTAGCCTTTTATGTGGCTGGTTAGTTTTGGCCAAGCTGGTGGGCCTATATTAGAGAAATGTATAATAAAAATGTGCTTTGAGGAGTCCAGTTGATAACCCTGGGTTACCAGCTAAGGCTAAACCCACACCATCCATTTAAAACACTATTATACCACTTCAAACAGTACACCCATGTACAGCTTGCTAAGAGTTGTTGGGAGACCCCTATTCCTTTCACAGACCCTACAGTTCCCAAACAACTCTCAGCACTCATTACAAACTATATCTCCCAGGATTCTTTGGGGAAGCCATATCTAATAGATATGTATACAACTTTATATGTATGTTGTATACAACTAGTATACAGCTTTAATATTGTATACTAGTATTTTAAATGTATGGTGCAGTTGTGGCCTACCGCATCCCAACAGTGCAAGGATTTCTGTCTGTTATTTCCTTCCTCTCCTCTCTCCTCTCATGCTCTCTCCAGATCTGCTTTGGAGGGTTGGGAGAACCCCCAGAACAGATTTCGGGGACACACAGGGGGAGGGGTGGAGTTGCATTGCGCAAGCGGATTCCCTTGCACTGATGGAAGGAGTTAGTCGGATACCACTCAGTCTTTCCAGATTCTACGAAGGAAGTTCTCTTCCCCCACCCCAATATCTCCACAATGGACATGAGCTCTGTAATACAGAGAAAGTTTCATGGTGTTAATAAGAACCACTTAAGTCTGTCTGCTGAGCACAGGATTGGGGAAACTGTTGTTGTGCAGAATGTCACTGATTCTTCTCATCGCTGACGACTGGCCATGTTGGCTTGAGCTGATGGGAGACGGTCTCCAACAACACCTTAGCAACTCAGAACCATCTACCATGAAGCTAACATACCCCAGGAAATCCTACCCGCAGAGCAATGATTTGGCTTTCTGGAAATTTTTGCATTGGAAATTTGCATCAGAATTTCCTTTTAGTTTTCGATTTCCTGATACCCTAGAGAGCGATCCAATTTGGCATGTTTATTTTGCTTGTATTTAGCAAACACAGCTAAAAACTGTGAAACTGCCAAGCTTGCCTAATACTGTATTTGCAGTTGGCATCCACTGATTGCTACTAATGAACTTATGAAAGAGATTTTCCTTTTTACATTTTCCATCCACATCACTGCAGCAGAGTAGCCTTGTAATTACAGTGGGGACAATACTTGTCGGGTCCTGGGTTTATTTGGCCACTTGCTCCATGGGGACTCTCTAGGTAAGAAGGCATGTACAGGGAGCAAAGGGCAAACGCCTTCCCTTTCATGCCATTCTCGCATGCCTCTGCGAGGTTTCTATACTCTTAGGTACCATAAAGAGGAATGCAGAGGTGTGAGGCAACCCTCCCCGCGCTCAAGGGACAGAGCTGCAGCAGGGAATAAAATGACATTTTATTTCTATCTGCTATTTCCCATGTGTGGGGGTGCGAATATTGGCTGTGTTACTGTGTCTGAAAAAACTTGTTTCTATTAAACTGACACAAGTTATGACAGCTCTACCTAAGCATGGAATTTCTTGGTGTAATAAAGGTTGTATGGGAAGTGGCTGAAACCACCTCCCAGTTCCTGGGAACAGCTTGCGGAAAGATCCACTAGTGAATATTTGCAGAGTGGTTGGAATGTGAGCGCAAAAGAGAATTTGTCCCTCCTATGGGATTCCATTTGCCATAACATAAATGCCATGTTCTTAATTTTTCTGAATGGTACTGGAAAAAAGCCAAGGGTTTTCCCATCACTCCTTTGATGCCAGGGTGGTGTAGTGGTTAAGAGTGGTGGACTCGTAATCTGGTGAACCGGGTTCGCGTCTCCGCTCCTCCACATGCAGCTGCTGGGTGACCTTGGGCTAGTCACACTTCTCTGAAGTCTCTCAGCCCCACTCACCTCACAGAGTGTTTGTTGTGGGGGAGGAAGGGAAAGGAGAATCTTAGCGGCTTTGAGACTCCTTAGGGCAGTGATAAAGCGGGATATCAAATCCAAACTCCTCCTCCTCCTCCTCTTCTTCTTCTTCTTCTTCTTCTTTTAAATAATAATAATTCTAGCAGCTAAATACAATAAGCTGGATGGCACACACAGTTGCATGAGTGTATGGACCTTCACAGTTATAACATGACATAATGCTTACGTCTCAAGCAATGTACATCCAAGTGTGAAGTACATCACGTGTTTCTATATACCCCCAGAACTTCCATTCTTCTTTATGTACTCTAAATTAGCTAGTTACCAGGCACATTTCTAAAACTAATTGACTATTAAAGAAGCCAAACCAAACACCCACCCATGTCTTTCAGTGCCATGGAATTTGCAGGCTTAAACTAGATTGGTCTGGAGCATGAGTAGGCGAACTAAGGCCCGGGGGCTGGATCCGGCCCAATCGCCTTCTAAATCCGGCCTGTCGACGGTTCGGGAACCAGCGTGTTTTTACATGAGTAGAATGTGTCCTTTTATTTAAAATGCATCTCTGGGTTATTTGTGGGGCATAGGAATTTGTTCATTCCCCCCCCCCAAAAAAATATAGTCTGGCCCCCACAAGGTCTGAGGGACAGTGGACCGGCCCCCTGCTGAAAAAGTTTGCTAGCCCCTGGTCTGGAGGGTAGGACCCGTACCAACAACTTCAAGTTTCAAGAAAGGAGATTCCAGCTGAACACCAGGAAGAACTTTGGCAGCAAGAGCTGTTCAACAGTGGAACGGACTCCCTCAGGAGGATGCGGACTCCCCGTCCTCGGAGGTTTTTAAGCAGAGGTTGGGTGCCCATCTGTCATGGATGCTTTAGCTGAGATTCCTGCATTGCAAGGGGTTGGACTAGATTACCCTTGGAGGATCCTGTCCAACTCTATGATTATGTGGTCTGGATGCTATTTCACCACTGCTTAACTTTTTCTTTCTCTTGCAGAAGGGGAAGGAGATGCACAGAGAAATCCCACTGAGCAAACTGGGGAAGCCCAGGGGGAAACAGCAAAGCAAGAAAGTTGACATCCTACTTTGACCGACAGCCGCAACTGTGGGATGTTTTCAAATCGCAAAAGCCTATTGGGAAAAAGGTATTTTGTGAGCAAGCTGATTGAACAAAAAATGAAAATGGATACGCCTCGTTCCTGGGAGCTGCCCGGTCCAATGCTAAAAGGGGCAAAGCAGGCTGTAGCAGCAGACAGAACTTTCTCTACCTCTGTCAGCAATGGTTGAGACTTCGTTGCTCATCTCGAGACTCTCTCAACATGGATCTCACCACAAATGACCACTTGATGAAATGCTCGTAGGAAGTAGAGCAAACTACATCGTGTAGCAAACAGCCCTCAACTCACCAGAGGCTTGAATTGCGTTGTATGACAATGGCTCCAGTGATCTTCAGAGGTTGTCTGACCTTCAGAGGGTGTTCACCTATTAAAATCACCTGTCAAGGAAGCACCGTTGGTTTGTTTTTTTAAGAACTCTGCTTCTGTGTTTTCAGCTCTATTACTTACAATGTTTTATATTGTACAGTTTAGATGCGCCACACTGCCCCTTCTCAAAATGCTTATGAAGGCAACTTCTGTGACTGTGATTTTTTTCTACCACTTGTTTTAAAAGGGCTAGGGTTTTATTTTCGCATAGTGTGGTGGGTTGTGCACATGATAAGATTATCAAATCAGCTGCTCATCTGATGAAACTGCATTCTTTCATTTATAAGAACATACAGTGTAATTAACGTATAGTCTGGTGTGTCTTGTTGTTTTCTCAGTACAGTTCGGTCACTTTGCTTGTAGATGGTTGGAAATCCAAGATTCAGACAGAATCTTTTATTTAATCTCATCCCTTAGGGAACTGGCCTTTTCCACTAAAAAGCCAAAAAACAAACATGATGTTCGTGCTGAGGTTTTAAGAGCAAACTTATCAGTACAACTTTTTTTTTAAAGGAGAAATAATATGTTGGGAGCTGATGAAACAGAAGCCCCAGAAAGTTGCTGAATACTTGTGTCCTGAAATGAAGCATAAATTTATTGTAGTGTTTAGAACTGGGGTTACCTTGTCTCTAAGCAGCTGAGATTGGAGTTAAACATGAATATTCCTGTGGCAATCAAGTGGAGCAGCCATCACAAGTCCCCCTCCCCATCCCAATTTGTTTTCGTTATTTTTATTTTTAAGTGATGTCCTGTTTTCTTCTTGTTTCAGATATTATGCACTTTTTAAAAATGTTTATAAACTTTACTAAAGGACTAGTGTAATTTTGCTTTCTAGTAAATTTGAACGTTGGTTAATGAAACAACCTTTACTGTTGTGGCCACGGCTGTTTCTACAATATATACATATTGTGGTTAGTTGTCACTTAGAGGTTTTTTTGTGTGTGAGATGTGTAAACTCTCTAATCAGTATTGAGTTCAGTAATTAGTGTTGAATAAATAACAAACCCAGCAGTATGTTTATGGCTCGTTAGCACAATTTGCTCCTGCTACACCTCTAGTTTATTTAGAAGGTCCTTTCCTTGATGCTTAACTAGCTATCAGACTCCTATTTTAATTGAAGAACAGTCCACTTATGGTTGAGGTTTGACTTTAAACATGCACAACCTAATTAGAAATGTGGTTTCCATTCTGGTGACCTGCTTCTCTTACGTTTCATTTCATCTTTACCGTCACATATGCATACATTTTTAAATAAGAACACTAATTATATTAGACAGAGATCAATAAAAGTGACAAGTCTGATACACGAGTTTGGTTTCTAGGAAAGCTTCCATGATGCATATTTGACATGGTGCATGAGTAAAGTAGGTGGAAGAGAGATCTTAGTCCGCTGGCCAATTTTTTTGAAAAATATTTCAGTGCCTGCTGGTTGCTGAGATTTTTTGCCAGGAATGCTTGACTGGGCACTTATTATATTTTTTAAGGAAATGTGCATTGTTGGGATCACTCAAGACAGATTAATTTATGCCAACTATTAAAGAGAACTTGAGTCTATAGCGTATTTGTGTATATTAAATTTATAAGCAAATCACAGATTCTAAGGTGTGGGAGCGGAGGACAATAGTGGCATGGGAGATACGGAAGGAAGAAACAACACATTCAGGCTGAGAGGTTTCTGCCCAGTAGACCTCATGTTTCTCAAAAGGCGGCAGGGGAGAAGAAGCAGTGGGCAACTTAAGAAAATCCAAGAGGTAGGATTGGTTTGACAGGAAGGGAAACAAGTCGGGTAGGTATACAATTTTGAGTATCTTTGAGCAACAGATTAAAGGAGTATGGAGTCCCAATAACATGAGTTACACATGGGTGAGAGGTTAAAGTCTCTCAGACTAGTCTGGCTATACAGACCTGGGATGCAAGTATAGGTCTCAGGCATCACACACCATTCTGAGTTCCTTCCTCTCTGTCATCTGTTAAGTCTCTCTTTCTAGTTCTCTCTGCAGTCTTCAAAACTCTGCAATCAGAAGACAGAGAGAGAGAGAGAGAGAGCAGCTCCTACGGGCAACATTTTGAGCAGCAGGAAGTTCTACAGCATGTTGTTGGACTGCGACTTCCATCGGCCCCAGCCAGCACGACCAATAGGGATAATACCAGTTGTAGTCCAACAACCGCCAGAGGGCCACAGGTGTGCCATCCCTGGTTTATCAGTTGTGTTGAGTTGATTGCTCTGCCAGCCTCATTTGATTTGCTCCAGAAGCATTTCCACAATTGTTTTTAAAGCAAAAAAAAGGTGGGCAAAAGTGAGCAAGTAGAGCCTGATATAAAGGGATTTGCTCAATAGATGCACATTTTCTCAGTCTACACCTGCAAACATAGTGCATGACTTCTCTAGAGATGCAGAAAGTTGAACCAGCTGATATGGTAACTGTTTGCTCTGAATATAGCATACGTGGCAAAATTGCAACTCTCCATGTACCGGAGAATATAGGAAATTTGAGTGGAGACACACAAAGTAGCCTTACACAATTTTAGCATATTGTATGGATGAACTCTCACTGGAGAACATAAGAAGAGCCTGCTGGATCAGGCCAATAGCCCATCTATTCCAGAATCCTGTTCTCATATTGGCCAACTAGATGCCCATTAGAAGCCTGCAAGCTGAAGCATTCTGCGCACCTACAATTCCCAGCTACTGTTTTTCAGAGGCATACTATGTCTGACGGTGGAGGTAGAATGTGGTCATCATGGAACTGAACCATTGCTTGGACCCCAAGTTCTTGCAAACTTGATACTATTTCTACCCACTCCCATTCCCTGTTAGTTTTCAGCTGTGAAGTTTAATGAATAGGCAAGTGGAAACAAAAACAGATGGAGAAATAGAAAATGTTGCAATATATTTTCCTTTTTCTATTTCATAGACGCTAATTGATCCAACTGTCTCGCTTGCAAATACTGTTCCAGGAAAACAGAACAACAGTTGCACACAAAAAACAGACTTTCTAGACAGGCCATCTAGTGTTATGAATAGTCCTTGTTCAGAGGAGATTCAGCTTGGCCTTCGCACAAATACACTAAGCCCCATAGATTTACCATATAAGGTAGATTTACCATATAATCTGATGGACCTATACTCATAGGTAGCTCCAGCTATTGCCATTGGGACTTACTTATACAATAGAAATAAATGTGTCACTTCTCAGGAAGGTTGTAAAGTAAGTATAATACACACCATTTCATGGGAGCAAATTATATTTATTTAAGGTGTTTATATTCAGCTACTGTAACCAGAGAGCCCTCAGGCTATTTGCATTCAGAAACAAACAAAAACAATGCCCAAAATATGCAAGGGTGGTGTGCATGTGGTTTTCTTTCCACTAGAGATTTATCCAACCCTCTGCAGCCTTCCTGGCTGCTTGTGCTGCTTAATCTAGAAAAAAATCCACTGGGAGTAGTTACTTCATGATGTCTTACTCTGGGTTTTGACTGAAGCACAGGCACCTGGGAAGGCTGCTGGGTGCAGACCACTGTTGAGATTATTTGTTACAATGGAAGAAATGACACAAACTTCCCTGGGCACCTCAGAAGTTTTGTAAGCACATTGAAGCACATTCCGCCTTGAGAGTGTCAGATTCCCCCCCCCCCCCCCGGAAGCCCTGTGTTTTTTAAAAAATAAAACTTACTGTTTTCAATATATAGTACACAGCAGCCACATTCAAATAAGCATGTGAGTAACAATAAAAAAAACAGAATCAGCATTCAGAAAAGGAGGGGCAATACAGAAAGATCTTGGCACAGAAGTCAGTGCTACAGGACAAAGATGAGACCAACTGTTGGTGCAAAGAGTGTCTTGGTGTCTCCGTAGCCATAGGCCTTCCACTGATCCGGTTCAGACAGGCTTTGTGCCAGCCTGATGCTGTCAGTAATTTTTTTTCCCCCTGATAGAGCTATATTCCAAATGTGGTTGTACCAGCTTTCTGGAGGATAGTCACATGACTTACTCCAGGTATAGTTGTGTGTGGCTACTAAGAGCTGAGTCATCAAATCTTGGAACCCTGGAAGGCAGCGAGAAGAGCTAGCAAGGGTGATTTAGGATCCTGCTGGAAAGCAATTCCCGGTAAGATAAAAAGAAAAAAGCCAAATTCAGCACCATAGGGACAGGGCCACCACGTATTCATTCAAGAACCCCATTTGCTGCATGCCCTGCCCTCCAACAACTGGGAGACAGATTACTATTAATACCTCTTAGGACAACAAGAGTTAAGATGCCAGCAGTACATAACTTTTACCCTTTGATAATTTTCTAATGTGGTTTCTTTTCTCATTCATTGATGGAGGATGGTAAAAATAAGAATAAAGGAGACGTTTGTGGCTCAGCATTAGCAGAGGTGCTCCAGAGAACGTGCTGTTATGGGTTGGCTTTGAAAGGCAATGTGCAGAGGCAACTCCCCTGGAGACTGTTTATTCGAGTCAAGGCCCATTTCCTTGTTTCATCATGAAGCCCCATGTCGACAACAGAAGGCGCTGCCTACCACAATCCACAGAAGCTTCTCCAGGGTGGTTACCGAGTCCTCAGAGGCCTTCTGAGCTTAATGAGCA